TGGCAGCGCGTCTGCGACAAGGCAGGAGATTATATCGAAGGCATGTAAAATTTCAGGTTTCTACAATAAATACTTTTTGATTAATTACAGTGTTGCCAATAATTATCGAATGATCCTCGTATATATAGATATATATATATTATATATATAATAGTCATACTTTAAATAAGCTAATTCATGTTCAGGGCAATTCGTGTATGCCACCCCATTCACACAAGATGGGCGAGCTCATGGAGAGTTACATGAGCAGTTCAAACGCAAGACTGTGCTCACAGTTGCCAACCATTTCCCCTATATCAAGACAAGAATTCAGGTCATCCAGCGGGAGCAGGTCTCATTCTGTTATTTTCCCCAATCCTCACTATTAATCTTTTTTGCTTGTATTGATGGTCCTTTCTCCCCTTTCTTGTGTGAATCTCAGTATGTCCTAACACCGATAGAGGTGGCCATAGAGGACATCCAAAAGAAGACACGCGAACTGGCTCGGGCAATGCAGCAAAACCCGCCTGATCCCAAGATTCTTCAGATGGTCCTTCAAGGATGCATTGGTGAGTGAAAGGCATCTTGAAAATACTCTCAACAATGATCAGATTTTACCATACTTGAAGCTTTGACTTGTCAAGTTTTTGTTAACCTTGAAACTTATGTAGTGGATTCAATTGTATGAAATTTGCCATAAATCTGATTGAATTTCTTCAGCAGGTGAAGTTTCACTTGAAAAAGTAATTCACAAGAAATCTCTGGAGGAAATATTTCTTTTGCTTCAGGTACAACTGTGAACCAAGGCCCGATGGAAATGGCCCATGTTTTCCTTCGAGATCTGGTTGATGGCAAGAAATCCCCCACCAAGCTTCAGAACAAGCTGCGGCTTTGCTTCAAAGATTTTTCTAAAAAGTCTGGAAAATAATCTCAAATTTTATTTAATTTTTCATCACATTGCTAATAATGTAGTAACTCTTGATTCATGCTTGGTCTTGAGCAGATGCGGAGATGCTCTGCAAATGAACCGCACCCTGATAGGCCCTGACCAAAAAGATTACCAAAGAGAACTTCAACGCAACTATCACCTGTTCACAGACCAGCTTATGCCAATGATCTCAGTGAATCACATCATGCAACCTAGACACAGGTACAGTACATCCACCCATTTCTTCCTCTAATTAAAAAAAAGGGAATTTGACAAAGTATTGTGATGAGTTGCTCATTTATTGCTCTAGAATGGCTCGAGATCCAGCTGATGGGTCCTCACCTGGTTCTCCACCTACAAGTCCCTTCATTTGACATTGACTATGCTTTGATCTTGTCTTGCTTTGAACCTTTTTTTTTTATAACATATGTTATAGATTGGCAGTGTGGACCATGTGCAAATTTCATGAAAAATCATCAGACTTCAATTCTCCCACATGTTTCTTTGTGATCCTCCAGCATGATGAACACATTCTCAGCTTCTTTTCTAATGCAATGTGGCCTGATGCTTGCCTCTAGAATGCATAGTGTATTGTCAAAAGGCCCCTTTGCTCTTGCTACTTGAATAATGGTACTCTTCATTGTAAGGTTATAAGAAATTCCTGAAAACCCTTGAATCCAATGGAATAGTTTCCTCATTTGAAGAAACCTGGAAATTCTGGAAGAACTTTTATCACTCTGTCCTTTTTACCTCATTTCTTGCTTTGGTCATTAAAGAGTCCTAAATGAGTATAGGAAAGATATTCTCACCATTTTCTAATTTATACCCAACGTAGGAGTGCTTCATGTTTGAGCAGGGATACTTTAATTTCTTTCCCCCTTAAATCTTGCAAAGCTCTCTTAGCTGACTTTGCCATCTTTGCAGTAATTGAGGTACAAAACACAAGTTGGCATTTTTGTTCTACTATTCTTAGTGTCCTTTTTCACATTACAGATTTTGCCTCACTCACTGGTGGACAGTGCCTCTGATGCGCTTTCATGTAGATTGGCATGGAAAGAACCACTGCTGAATTTCAAAGGTGTTGCATTTGAAATCAGTTGATGAAATGAATTTCTTTTTGTTGATATCTGGAGTGATTTCACATCACATGAATTACAAACTTGTGGAAGGTTCCTTCACCTTGAACCTGGCCTTTCTGGCCCCAAATCCTAATAACAATGACAATTGACTCAAGTGAATTGACCCATCATTTCTGTTAATTGCCATGCCATACCTTCACCTCAAATGCAGAGCAAGACCATGTATGCCCTGAGCACGAGGTTTTTGTGCAAGAGCATGAGGTTGACCCACCTCTCAGCCTTTGCCTCAATTTCAACTGATGCTCATTATGAACCCATTCAGAACAAGTCTCTTCTCAAGCCTCGGCACCGGCGTAAGGTGAGCAAATTTTGTGCAGGAATCTAGCTTTTGAGGAATATTAGGATTTCTGTATTATAAAATGTTAACCTTCATATTGCCAAATTTTGCAGTTTGTGTACAATCCATCCCTGTCACAACTGCTGCATTGGAAGTTTTTTTGTGTGACAGATGCTGTCACAATGGCATTGCAAGGGTTAATATTGACCCATTCACCCAAAACGTATCAACACAAACTGCATTTCATTTAATGTTTAGCAAACATATATTCAAATCATAATTGCTCCTATCATATGGTCAACTTCAGGCACATGCAGTAATTTGTTTTATAACTTTAATGACTTCATTTTCTTTTGGGATGGTTCTTCACTTACGTGCTTCATGAAAAAGAGATGCTACATGCTTTTGATATTCTTTATCCAGATACTGTTGGAAATTGAGATCCTCTTATAGGAAAAGTAGTGGTTCCTCTTTTTATGAACCCCAGCTTCCATTTTCATTGAGGTATCAGAAAACCCAAAGAGTTGTTAAATCTACATGCTCACAATAGAATGTGTGCATGCAGTGTCCAATGAATATTTTACTGCTTCTCAGTTGCATTTCCCCATCCAACTCATGTTAGGTAGCCATTAATTTAATTGGCTTGTGAACACCCTGTTTCATCAGTCAGAAGTGTCATTGAAGAATGATTGATTTTACAGTGTTTGTCTTGTCTTTAAGTTGCTTGTCTTTAAGTTCATGAATGTCTGCTCATTTTGTGCCAATGCAGTTGAATGGTGAGCCTCCACATGAAATGAAATTGGAGCAGCTCTCTGAGTACCAGAAAACGCTGAGGTACCATCGGAAGATGTTTGGGCATTACGGAAAGGCATCGGGTGTGGATCCGGGTCTCTGCTGGCCGACGAAAACAGAACTGGCTACACTGAAGGAGGTTGAAAGGCTACAATATCCCCGAACTCTTCAGGAATCCATAGAAAAGATCAGATTGGAAAAAGAAGAAGCAGAGAGGGCTGCAAGGCTCAGGTGAAATGCAAGCCTCCATCTCATTTGGGACTCTTTTCCTTAACCTTTTCCCTGGCTGGGATATTTGAACACTTTGAGGATGTCCACATAAAACCACGTTGATGCCAGGGAGAGGGTTAATCAGTCAGTTGATAAATTAGATTGTGGAGAGATAGAAGTGGTTAGTTTGTTTACAGCTATGCTCATGGAAACAGAGTATTGATATTGAATAACTTAGGGAATTAACAATTAATTGCCAAATATATAAAAACTGAATTTAAGTCGTGTGTTGTTTGGAAGACTTTACCAATGGTATTGCTTTATCTCTCTCTTATTCTGCTTTAATTTGGAGGGACTAATGAATAGTTATTCTTGGCAGGGATGAGGAGGTGGCCAGGAAGGTGGCAAGGGCAGAGAGTGCCAAGCAAGAGCTTCTTGCACGGATGGCCCGAAAAGAAGCCGAAGCCCGAGCCATCAGGGTTCGATTGGACTTCTTTCTTTCCCTCTCATCCTTTGCTTGGACTCGGTTGCAGTTTTATTTGTCTGGTGTTGCAGGAGAAGAAGGAGCGGATGATGGAGGAGGTGAGAGAGTACTTTGGCTACCGGGTGAACCCGAAAGACCCCAGATTCCAGGAACTCATGGAGGCCAAGGAGAAGGAGGAAAAGAAGAAACTGAAAGCACAGAAGAAACTGGAAAGGGAGGCCCAAAAGGTGGTCAAACTCATTAGGCCAGGCCAAGCCACATCCTCGCCTTCTTCACCTCCCCCTACCCAGCCCGAGAAAGCAGACTCATCGGGTTCATGACCATCTTGTCTTTGATTGTATGTTTGAGATTATTATTAAATCATTTGATTCATTCATGAATATTTTGAAGTCAGTGAGTGATGACTTGGACGATTCATTCTGGACATGCATCTAAAACACTTAAGTACTTCAAGAGACACATGCCAATAATTGCTTGCAAGATGAAGGGTCATTTAACTTGTCTTCAATTTAATTGGATTTTTAAAATTACTCATCAGGAGGAAGGTGTCACTCTTTTACCATTATCCCCTTACCCCTTAAACCAACAACTTGAGTTTTAAGAAATCGCCCTCAAAAAAAGTAAAAATTAAGAAATTAACTTACAACGGGAAAAAAAAGTTATCAAATGAGCTGCAGAATAGTCAATAATTGATTGAATCTTGAGTAGGCAGATATGTCATCAGATCATCTTTGATCTGTTGGTATCCGTTGCTGTTTCTCTGCTCCGTTTTCTTTTCCCTCACAGAGCTCTGATTACTTGTGTCTCGCTAATTCTAAATCTGTAATGAATTCAATCTAAATCTAAACTAAATCGAATCACATTCTAACATGAATTTAATCACCAGGCAGTGTGATAATGGAAATTGTTTCTTGCCTTCGAAGGTCAACTAAATTCTAAATCTAATTTAAAAGCAGTTTAAAAAGGGAGAATTGTACATAAACTGTTCTGACCCAATCAGCTACGCAAAATGCCGAGATTAAAGGAAAAAATAAATAAAACGCCATCGGGGAACATTTGCTGGGATATGTGATCATGAACTCAAATAAGAATGATTGATAGTACGGCGCGGTCTGCCAGCCAATTTAAATCGGTCACAGGCACGGAACAGACTTGATTACTTTTCACGTCCCTCAGATTAGATTTAGCATTGACAAGGTACAGGTTCGTGGATTCGGCCGCTGGATGCGACTAAAGTTAGATCCAGAGAGCTCATCTTTCTGCTCGGGTTCTGATTTCCTAGATTGACTTCGGGTTGGGCTTGGTTTTTTTTTTCTGTCAGGGTTTTTTTCCCCGCTTTTCGCGCTCCTTTGCGAGGTCGAGCGTTCGTATAGAATGAGATTTGACTATCCTCAAATTAAAACATCTTTGAGAGCATGTCCACCTATCGTCTAGTTTCATGCCTTCTCCCTTTTTCAAAAATGTCCTGTAAAACATTTAACCTCGTTAGGATAGTCCCAAGAAGAGGCCATTCCGCTATCCGAGTCTCATTTGCGGTTAGAGTAATTTTAAGCGGTTCCCTCTCGTTCTGCTGGCACCATCGAGTTAGGAAAGCCTACCACGCTCCGCTCGATCCATTTCCTTGATGACTTGCAAACTGCATTGCTTGGTCCTTTCTTCGGCCGAGGTGTCCCCCCTCTTTAACTTCGTACCACGATTTTCGTTTTCGCAGCTTCCGGATCCGTGAGATCGTTTTCATCTGCCAGCCGCGAGAACCGAACCCAATGCTGTAAATGGGGGTCTCGCCGCACACGGCGGAATAGTCCAGTCCCTGAAGTCCTTAAAGTCTTTTAGTTGCTATTTAATCCTCGCCAAAGGCACTCAGAGACCTTCAGCTCTTATTACCGATGTGCAGAATCTTAAATTCACTCGTATTAAACGTGATGAGCATTTTTTTTCATACTCCAAAAGCTATAAATCCTTCTTCTCTTCATGAACTCAAATTTTATTGTTTGCTGATTTTATCTGTGAGGCCATGTTAATTGTGACGAGGAACTCCCACGTACATTTCCAATTACTCTTTCCTCTTTTCCCTCCAACCCGTTCTTCATCCGACTATTCGCTCCCAATGTCGACAGGAATCTCATCCGTCGCTGCCGATCGATGTCGTCTTGCCGATTAAATGATTCGAAAGGATCGCAGCCGGATGGGAGAGTTTCGCCCGAATAATTCTAATACGAGATCCCTTTTTTCGTGCATTCTAGGATTTTTGCAAGACTCTCGCGAGACTCCCCGCCCCCGCAATTTCCCAGAAATCCCGCCTTCTCAGGAATCGGCCAATTTCACTCGACGCCCAAATAATCCATCCCGATTCCCGACGGATTTTTCCCCGTCGAGTCCCACGGCCCTCGAAGCCGGTCGCCTCTGGCTTCCCAATCTCATCTGTTCCCTCATCTTCTCATCTCGGCGAGGAGGATGACGATGTCCTCGGTGCATGTCGAGGTGACCGCCTTTGTCGGTACTTCCTTGGATTCGCTCGTGAAACGCGGAAGCAAAGAGGTCGTTTAGAATCTCAACTGACTCCACCCTTTCTCGTCCATTGAATATCGACTACTGCTGCTGACATATTCATATCATACCTTAGGATCAACGGCGTAGGCGGCACGGCCCCCCTCTTCCCCCCCCCCTACGCTTGGGATTATTGTTCGCGCTTAGGGTAGGTGATAGGAATTCCGACCCCCTTAAGCTCAAAATCCGTCCCCCTCACCCACGGTTTGAAATTAGTTTTTTGAGGGGATCTCTGCCAATCGAGAGTAAATTGCACACATTGCCCATTCACGTTTAGGGACCAAGCATTGGTGTAATTTTGCCGAAAAAGGCTGTTTGTACTTCTGATTACGTTGAAATATGCAGCGTTAGGGGGCGGACTTTAAAGCAGGGTCGGAATTTGTATTCCCCACCCTATAGCTGGTCACTCCTCTCGCTCCCGTTTCGCTCGTGTAATTTCCCGCTTTGGTGACCTCTTGGGTAAATGCGGAAGGCACTCGTTCTTCACACTCGAAACAAGGCGGCCGTGCATGGGACACGCCTGCAAGACCTGCGACCTCTGACCTCTGACCCGCGACCTCCAACTGATGAAGGTCACGGGTCCGAGGGTACCCCGCCTTCAAAGCGGTTCGGAATGATTAGGAAGGAATTGATTCGGTCGGACAGAAAGGCATCGCTCCCGTGACAGGGGATCCAGGTTGGAAACCGACTGTTTATTTCCGAGCGCGAGCCTGGACGTGTTTGGGAAATGAAACCGGTTCAACGAAGCGCTACCTCACCTAAACGTGGCATGCTAAAGGACCCGAGTAGGGAGCGTATTTTTAGGCACTAATAAGCCCTAAAATATGCACGTACATATGCACCCAAAAATGCCAAAATATGCATGAAATATGCACGAATGTGGGAAAACATGCAAAACCATGTTTTTTTTATTATGCAGTACGAATTTTCCGGAAGGAGGAACTTGAATGTACCTGTACATTTCATGCTTCTACTGGGTATAGTTGTTCTAATTCTTGTCGCAGCCAGCAACAAAGCTCGAAATATGCCAATGGAAGGAAACAAATAGGGCAATAATATCCTGAACTTCTCGGAAGAGGTGAAGATGGTGGACGGATTTAGTAGAGTTAGGGGCTTCACCGCCCCCCCCCCCCCCCCCCCCCCCCCCCCCCTCGTTTCTTCAGCGGTTGTTGAAGTCCAGGTCTTGGGGTTGTAAGGTGGTGTGGAGGTCTTGGGGTTGGGTGGGTCCGCGGCCAGCCACCAGGTGGTGTTGTCAGGCCAGGGGTAGCTGAGGGAGGTAAAAGATAATTCAGTGGGCATGGTCATTGTGAGGGTGGTTTTTCTTGTTTTATAGTTTTTTATTTTGGTTTTTTGTTTTTTATTTTTGTTTTTCTATTTTTTGGAACATATATATATATGTATTTAATAGTAATGATTAAAGGAACTGTGGGTCAGCGAAGATGATTTGTACAGCTAGATTAAGGAGTTGAATATGCAGCTATGCAACATTTACTCATGCCATTCACACATCCTTTTGCTCACACTTTCAGTCAGTTGCTCACACTGTCATACATGCATGCACACACTTGTGGAGATAAGGGGGATTGTGGAGGAGTGAGGGAGTGACTTAGCTTGGGTCATGGGGGTGCTTGAAGTCCTCCTGGGTGAAGTTATTGTAGGTTCTGAAGAACAGGACAGCTTGGGATGACAGTCCTGGAAAGATGAAAGATGAGTGCATCAGTTTTTAGGCTATATGATGAAGCAGATTAACAGGGCAGCTGGGACAAGGGGAGGGGAGGGCCCTGACCATCTTCCGCTCTACGGTTCAGATTGAATAATGGATAGGTTCTTACTCTTTTATGCTTTTTAAATTTGATTTTCTTATTACTGGTTGCACTGATGTTACGGATATCATCCGGGAAAACACATTTTCGTGGAAAACCCTTATTTTTCCCATAAAAATTGGCGAAATATCCATAAATATGCACATGCTGAGAAAAACGTAAAAATATGCATTTTTATGCGTTTTAAAATGGCAGATATCGCTTTCTCTACCGATAAGACAAGATCCTACCTGGGTTGCATGTTCCTGAGAGGCTGCAGAAAAAATATGCCTTTGCATAAAAATCCGCTACCTAGTTACGATCGACCCCTGGTCAAGTCTCCCTGAAGTAACCATGAGATTCGAATCGGTCCTCCAGATCACGTGGGTAACCGAGCGACATAGAACAGCACAACGGCGTGCACCGTGTTCACCGTGCAATCCGGTCGGCATGAACTCCAGATGAGGTCAGAAGGAATGGGATTTTAGGTCTGGGAGAGTTTCCCGAGATTCCAGCGCGAAGGCACATTCATGGACCTCGAACTTCTCCCACCTGGTATCGTATCGTATCGGTTGTGGACCAATTGCCAATCGGCTGGGGTATTGTGGCCCGCTGTCAATTGGCTGTGACACTGTTTGTGGCCTGCTGTCGCGTTTATTCACGACGCCTGTTCTCGTCACTTAGTGTCCCAGGATAGATGGTTTAGATTTCTCAAAAGTCTGATGACGCTCTTGAAATGTGTTTATTACTTTTTATTTCGCATTTCCATGACAAGGGGCCGAGGAAAACCTTTTTCACTTCTTTGAATACACGGCATTAATTGAATTTACAGAAGGAAGAGACTTGGAAGAGCTAGCTGAATTCCATTCCCTCACGTAGCCCTCCACGAATCCACTTTTCTGCATTATCGGACAAAGCGAGTTCAGTGACAAACAAGCTGTAAATTGTAGCTTCCCTCGAAAAACAACATTTCTGATTCTCCACGGTGAAATGGGCGCAGGAATATCCCCCCCTCCCTCCCCCCCCCCCCCACACACTTCACCACTAATCTCATGACCACCTGATTACCATCCCACTTGCTTTTTCACTGCCTCTTTCCCAGTTTTTCCTCAGCAGCATGACGATTTCGCGGCGATTCGACCCACTTTCACCACGGTGAGTCCTCCACCTCTCCTCCTGGCTTTTTCAAAGGATTCCCATAAAAATGAAATAACTGGACGGGCCCAGCCATTTGTGGGCTTGCTTTCACCATAGAATCTGCGGTTTCTCGCCAAACAACATCCGATCGACAAAGCGTGTAAAAATCGAAAATTTTATCGGAATATATCGAGATAAATTTATAAGATGTGACTTCGGGGCAGGTGGAGTGGAGGGTAGTGGTAGGAGTGGAAGGTATTGGTAGTAGTGGAAGGTAGTGGTAGCGGAAGGTAGTGGTAGCGGGAGGTAGTGCTGAGAAAAGGGAGTGCGCGGGAGTCAGTCCTCCGACCTGATGCATCTAAAGAATCGTCGAAAAGCAAAAAAAAACCTGGAAGACACGTGGAATCGACTGCGACGGCGATTGCCAACGGTTTTCACGCGGAATGGCCCAATTACAGTACCGAAAAAATTATTGTGCATTTTTTATATTCAAAACTGTATCATGCTTTTTTCATGCAGCAGGAAATCCATTTTGAAATTTCCGGTTCTGGATACTTCTGATGAACGCTCATAACGCATTTCAGAGGAAAGCCTTGTGTGACCAGAAGATTTTTTTATTTCTTTAACTATTACAGTACTGGTACCGGAAAAGTTTTTTAAAATGAAGTTTTGCATCGAAAACTGAATTCGTGATGGGTTTTCTCCTGCTGCAAAACCTGCAGCAAGAGTACTCAGTACTTCTGGAATTTGCTTGCCCTTTCTCGACTTTTGGTGACATTTCCAAGAAATTCAAAATGGACTTTCCGGTATTTAGAGCTTCCCGAGTTCGAAATCGTGCCAGAATCCGGCTCTCAAACCAACGGGCGATCGTGTCATGGTTTTTTTTTGTTTTTTTGTAAACTCCCATCAAAAAAGCACGTAGCAGGGCGAAACCTGACCTACTTCGTCGTCGGCCGTTATAACCCTGTCGCTACCAGAACCTGAATGGTAATCGGTTTTTAACTCTTTCATCTCTTCATTCCCAAAGAATCTCTTCAAAATACTCTGTACCTAATTACTATCACATGTCTTCGTGAAAATACACATAGTATCCAATTTAACAAGTTCACGGCACAGCCTGCAAAAAATTCAACCTTTTTTATCAGGCTCCATCGGAACCAGGATACCAGAACCAGAACCATACACAGGGTCAGCAGATTCTGCGATTGGCACGAGGGGAAACCTCGTGCCAACCTTCCTGCTGCGAGGAGAGCGAGAGGACCCAGGCGCCCCCCCCCCCCCCCCCCCCCCTTCCCCCCCCCTTCCGTCCACGTGGATCGTCGCTTCGCCTTGGCAACTCGGCGGTGCCACCCGGTCTCTGCCTCAGTCTCGTCCTTGAGAATTTCCAAGCCTTTTTCGAGTCGAGGAGAAAGAAAGACGGCGAGGGGCGAGCCCGTTCGCGTCGACTCCCTCGTTAACGAGCGCGAAAGTGCAACCGAGGTCTTCATTCTCCCACAGAGGAGACTCGTGAGAGCCGGTCGACGGTGTGGAATGGACGGAAGGATCGGCTTTTGTCTCTTCGCGACGGGGAGTAAAAGCTTCCTGTCCGGTGTTGTTTACAATAATAAGGCGACGCCGTGTGCGTGTCGCGTCGATGCAGCTTTTTCGTCGTCGAATCCCGTCGAGAAAATGCAGAATTGAGCATGGGAGAACCCACTTTTTTTTTTTTTGCCCTCGTATAAAAATACGTTAATGACAAGGGAAGAAACAGATGGAGGGTGATGCGATAAGGAAAAAAAAGAGGACGTATCCTGGAAATTGCCTGAGGCAATCCGGAATGGATGTGCACTTTAATCGCCTCAATTGCTGGGAAATTCTCAAGGCCGCCGGTAGCCTCTATGTCTTTTGTTTCCCTAACCGATACACCATCTGGGGGACTCGAGCCCCCCATCTCTTCCCTTCTTTCATTTCTACGCCCTATCCTACTGAAGTATACGAACGACACAAAAGTCTATTGTTTACAAATTATTTACGCTAATATCTGAATAGGATCGCATTTTAAAACTTTTTTGTTTTTACGTTCAATTCCTTGGTTAACGAAGTAAACTATGAATTTGAAAAATCAAATCAACCGCCCCAAAATGTAAAAGAATCGAGTTTTCAGAGTCGCGAAACTCAAGCGAACTAAGGTTAGGGAAAAATTGGAGGAGCCGTCCCCGAGACGCTGTGCAAGAATCCCTCCCCCCTCCCCCACTCCGCGCTGCCAGTCGGAATGCCACCACAGTGGCTGGGCATTGCAAACGGAGCGGTCAGGCCCGAGCTCAGTCCCCTTCCAGCTCTCCGCGGGGTGAGATGTCCCTGAGCGTTCGCGGCGTGGCGTTTTCTTCCTTGTTTGTCGTCCCGGGTCTGGCTTCCTGACAGGTAAAAGCGACTCTCGTACTTCTATTTGCCTTACTTGTCTCGTGCTGATGCTGTCGATGGCGATTTCCGAGCGGTGTTTTCGGTATCCTCCCCGGCGATTCGTTCCATCCAGGTCGCTTCGAAGTTCCGTTTCATTTTCGTGGCAAAATTAAGTTCACGATCGAGATTGGGGGCTTTTCATCGTTCGATTACCTTTCGTAATGAATCCCGTAAACTCAAACATCAATCGGTCACGTAAGATCGTGGGTGACGCGCACCGAACCGATTTAACTGAAACTAATCTGATTTCATGACTATCCTCTATGGGAATCAGTTTCACGGAGATAATCTTATTCCCCGAGACGCCCATGATGAAATCGCATCAGTTTAAAGTTTAACGGACTTGGTGCGTGTCACCCCGTTTCTGTCTCGAGTTCCTCCACCTTTTACCCTTACCACAGAAATGATATCATTCTCAAAAGAATTCCAAGACGTGCAGCAAATATTTAAGGGGGGACTCAAGTCCACTCGAAAGAACTATCGCGTGGAGAAATTGCGAAGTGCTTCTGTTACAAGCTATTTCTGGTTTGAGTTAATTTCTCCCTTCGTTGTTATTAAATAATTTTGCCATTGAAAGTGTCAAACGTCAACATTTTCCCCCACTAATTTAACATTTTTAACTTTATAAAATCATATATGAATTCACCAATTCACATATCTGCTCAAGCCAGTTCAATATAGGAAAAGCAGTGTTACGAATCGCAACAGGGGTTGATGCTGGCCCGTGACCTGTAAAAATATGCGACTTGTGCAAACGAGCACCAGAAGCAGCCTCAAGTCCCCCCCCCCCCCCCCCCCCCCCCCCCCCCCCCCTCTTCGCCGTCGTGCTTGGGAGAAGGGAATGCGTTCACCCTGCGTTATGAGACAAGGAATGTGCCGCCTCTCCGTACGTGATCTGGAAATACCCGTGAAGAATCTGTTTTGCGCATGTAATTTAGTCTCTCTTAGGCTAGAGACCTCATGAATTGTATGGAAAATGATATTAGATGATTGAGAAAATGGAGAAAATGGGATGTAAAATCTATTGCATAGTTGTACGTCAGACGATTTGCGAACGTACTCTAGCACAGTGCAACGCTTGTAACCTTATTGTATGCATCCGAGGGACAGTGACCAGAGTTTCGAACAATGGAGTGCTCAAGATGAAACAATAAGTCTCAATAAGTAATTCGGAAGTTCATTTCATCGATCGGTTATTTCAGTCATTCGTTGGGTAATGTTTACCGAATGTGCGTGTCCAGCATGAGGTGGCTGCAGAGTCTGAGGTCGGAGAAAGGGGACCACGGATGGTATTACCCAGGGGTGGGGGGACCTCGGGAGAACCCCCTGACCCACCCGGCCGTGGATGCTCCCCTGTGCGAGGACTGCCAGGGTCTCCAGCTGACCTTCTTCGACCCCTCGTGCCCCGGCTGTCGCGCTCTCTTGAAGTCTCCCGCGACCACCATCGCTCACGTCTTCGCCATCCTCCGCCAATGGGTCCCACAGACGCAACAGAACATCCAAACGCTGGTCGACGAGGTGAGCGGAGAAGGGATGTCGGGACCGACCCAGCGTGTCGTTGAATGCCCGATAAATGCTTGAAATCGCCTGGTAGGTGCTGCGACGTGGAGGTCACGTGGACGACCGGGACAGTCTCACGGACATGACTTTGCTTCAATACGCGTGTAAGGCCGGTGCCTCTGGAGTCGGAGACGTCACCCTTGCCACCAAGGTAATTCTGGTTCCCCCTCATCAATTCCCCACAGCCGCAGTTTACCTTAGCCCGTGTTTAAAACGGGACTGCTTCCTCCTCGCTTTGACCCGCGTTGCACGTATGGAGTCCTATATCCTCTTCGCGGACTACATTTTCCGGAATTTTCTCTCATTTTTTCCCCCCTTTTTTTGTTCGTGGGAGAATTACTGGTCGTCATTTGGTCATAATCGCCGGCTTCCGCGTGCAAATGCCCATGCCATCATTTCCTGCTCTCCGGCCTGATATCTGTAGCATCCTTATCAAGTGCCTCCCGGGATTTTTATTTATTAAAAAAAATGGATTCCACCCAAAGGATAATTAATTTTTTGCTTCACGCTGCTGTGGGGTGGTTGACCTTTCAACGTGTTTGCGGTTTGCAGCAAGATTCCAAGCGCGCATTCCGAATGTTTCGATTTTCGAATATTAATCTCGAATAATGATAAAAATTCGAAATAGCAGGAAAGTTTGAAGTTTAAAGCTGAGTTTTTTAAACATCTTAAGGAGAAGTAGTTGTCCATACTGCATATGGACAACTACTTTTGGTGGGCCAAAAAAAGGTAACCGAAACTTCAATATAATTAAGGATGATTTTATTTATTTATACACACATTTGAACTGTATTTGGCCTGATCAATAGCGTCGAAAATCGTGTTCGACAATCCAAACATGCTCCTCAACAGAATATTGAGGCATGATAATTATCCAATGTTGCCCTGAAATGAAAAAAGAGACTCGTTTTCAGTTACATTCTGTTTGGCCCACCCTGTACTACCGTAGATGCAGCATCAAGCTAAAGCCATGAAGAAAGGGAAAAACAGACAAGGGATGGAAACGAGAATTCTTGGCTGCCCGTGGTCCGTGTCCGTGGAAACGTATAGCGGATGCACCGTACTGGGAAACAAGGAAAAAAAGAAAGAGGACAAAAAAAAAGGCATTTAACGTGGAAAAAAAGGGGGGGGGGGCCTCTCCTCTATAATCAATGACCCGAATCTCCGGCTCGATGATCTAGTCGACCACATTTCCGTGTTTCCTACTTCGTGAAATTCGTGAAAATTAGCACCGACGAGGCGGATGGAGCGGATGTGGGGCATTTCAGTCCCATGTCACCCCGTTATCGCGAAGCGAGTGCGGAAAGCCCCGTTCCGCACTCCCCCGAAACCAGCATCTCGTTCCAACCGATTCCACCGCGGACCGCCGTAAATTCCGATACGATGCACTCCGCGATCGCGGCGCATTTTCATCCGAGCCGACTCTCGTCGATCCAGGTGGTGGGGATGCTGTTGTCGAAGGGGGCAGAGGTGTCCATCCGATGTCGCTGGACTCACATGACTGCCCTTCATTATGCCGCCTATTTCGACGTCGCTCCCGTTCTCCGCCTGCTATTAAAGGCCAGCAAAGGTAAATCAATTAAAAACTAATTCGAATGGGAAAGAACTTCTCGATCTCGTCCGATAAGATTCTTAACTTCGTTTCAATGGCTTCGTTAGCGTCGAACATCATGACGTGTAATTAAGATCCCTCCGATAAGCGACTGTGTTCGTAGCTTCCTCATTGTCGGCTAAGTGATTAATTACGTTCCGTGCAAACGCGACGCCGATAGGAGTGGACGTGGACTGGAGATGCGGCGAATACGAGAACGGCACCGCCCTGCACATCACAGCCGGGAATCTGTGCCTGGAGGCGGCCAAGGTCCTTCTGGAGCACGGAGCCGACCTCACCGCCACCGATGACCTCGGACGCACCCCTCTCGGTCTGCGCTCTTGAGCCTAGTATTTTTCTTTAACTCGTCGGTAGACAGGTTTGGCTTGGCTTGACCTGTCTCCATGGACGAGCTGCTGACGATTGACAACCGGTGACGTCACTGATCGAACTCGAGACTCCGATGACGATATTGGTAGACGATATTTTCGAAGCGATGGGTGAAGCGAATACTGGAAGCAGTAACCTCTTGGTTACTGCTTCCTGTATTCGAACGAACAAAGGCGGGTTTTTGCGAGTTACGGTGTAATGCACGAACCCGAGTGATTCCCTTCGTAGTAGGTTTCTGGCCAGGAATACCCCTTCCTTCCCATTAAGCCATGGCTTAAGCTGGGTTGCACGATGAACTTACGGTGAATTTGGAACGACCTCATGCTCTCTCAGATCGTTTCAATGGAGTTAATCGTGGAAAATTTCGGCGCAAATTGGTGCGACGTCGGTTCATAATTGTCAGCATACGAAGTCACCGTGTCCAACAGAGGCACGTGGAGTGGTCCTGACCACAGTAGCTGGTTTGGCCTGTCACCGATTCCAAATCTTGTGTGGTTGATAAGCGTGTCACGATGACGTCACGTTATCCCGCAGTTTCGTAAAAACCATTCCGTACCCTTACCAGGTAATTCGGTACCCTTACCAGGTGGCTCACCAAACCTCGGTGCATTCGATGTTGACGATGAAGACCCTCTGGCCAAATGGCGCTGATCTCGTCGGTCGATCAGACAGGAGGCGACCCAGAGAAGGAAGTCAGGTTTAGCCCGCTTTTTTCAAAAAGAGATTCTTGAGGTCAGAAGTTTCCTCATATGGAAGCGAGCAGAGGATTCGAGCGTCGCATTTAATGGGGTTTCTCGAAATTGAACAGCTTGTAAGACGGCCGACGTCATTTTCCTCCAACCGACGGACAGAGCAGGTCGATTCGGTAGGCAACTGCAGTCGAGAAACCGCATAAACACTGAGGCCTATTTGAACGGAGCAGTCGGCGACCGCACCATCTGGTCGCTCGATCGCGAGTGCCTAGCTGGAGAGCGGCGAAGCGGAACCTCGAGATGTCCAGTGACGTCACCGGCATCGTGGAATCCGATTGGCTGGATTCCCCAGGCCGATGCTCACCCATGACCCAGAAGGACTCGCGTCGTGTCTTTCCGTGCAGAATGCGTGCCGGAGGCGTCGACTTTCGACCTGATCCCGGACGTTCAAGAGGTGATAGGGAAAATGCGTCGACTCCTTTCTCCGGATTGCAACGGGAGAAATGGGCACGGAACGCTGACGAAGCAGAGCTTCGAGAGCATCTCCGGCCGGGCGGTCCTTCAAGCCATGGGTCTCAAGGTCGGGGACAAGGTCGTCGTCGGCGGGAACAAGACCGGCACTCTCAGGTCACTTTCGTCTCTTTCTTCACGCTCTTCTGGTCGAGAACGAGGTTCAAGGATCCCAGAACGTGGGATCCTCGCCTCATATCAATGGCAGAAGTTCTCCTTTGTCTTTTTCTGCTCTGTACGCCGCTTATTTATTAAACTAATGAATCAAAAGCTGCGCAAGTTAAGCACTTCTCATGGATGTGGAAAAAAAAAAGAAATATGTGTCGGGAAATTGTGAATCCGTCTTGACATTTTGGAGCTTTAACGTTTGAATTTGCCTGGCACTTAACGCACGAGATATGGACGCTTTTGTTTCTTCCGAAGGTACTCCTATCGATTTCGGTCCATTTGTATTCGTAAGTCACGGTCGGGGAGAAGTGATTCGTAAAGAAGGCCAGAGTAATTTATTTTTAACGCAGAAACAAAGAGAGCGACCGTGACCGTGACGGAGGCAGGTGCAACGGGAAATCCATCGGAATTCCAAAGAAAATCTTCAAGAGATTGGACGAATGTCGGCCCCCGAGTGAGTTTCGAATCGAGTGAAGATCGAGTGAATTTCGAGATCGAGTGAAGCCCGAGGATCATCCATTGCCCAGCGTCTCCGCGTTACGGTCACACTCGTTGCTTCTGCCAACAAAAGGATTCCGGCCATCTGTTCCCTGTTGAACGACTTTCCCCGACCATGACTCACAAATTCCAATGGCTTTTCTCAGGGATCGACACCAATTATCTATTTATCTATTAAAGAAACAATGGCGTGAAAATCTTCTTCGTCGCCCTGCAAGTAATCAAAAATGATGAATTAGTTTACTAATTGGAAATCGAGATTCGTTTCTGTTCGAAGCAGCTGGTATTGAAAAAAACCGCTGGTGTACCGAAAATAGGTACTGCGGAACGACCGAGTTCTCGACCGGGATCTGGGCGGGGGTGGAACTGGACACGGCCGAAGGAAGAAACGACGGAAGCGTGAAAGGGGTCATGTACTTCCGGTGCAAACCGAATCACGGGCTCTTTGCGCCGTTGAATCGGATCGCGAGACTTGGGAGCCCCGGCTCCGGGTCCGGAACCGGATTCTCGAGGACTGCCTCCTTGAGGCGGTCGTCGAGGTCGCTCTCAAAGGTCAACCATCCTCGCATCGACACCTCCAAGGTCACCTCCAAAGTCGCCTCTTGTACGTTCATGCCTCACCCCACTGCTTTTCTTTACTTATTTCGATTTTTAATTACTGCAATTGGTCTGTTAAATAATTTATTCGTTTTCTTGTCTTTTTACTTCAGTTGCTTTTTATTATTTTTTTTTCGGGGGACCTTGAGCCATAAAGTCTGAATCGACTCCACCCATGATACTTTGTATTTTCCTATTTCCGATCGTCAAGTTCTCGAATCCGAACACATTTTTGTTCGTGCGTCGGCAGCGACCAGGAAGGGCGACAAGGAGGGGATCCGAGTCGGCGACCCAGTGGTGGTGATCGGCGCCGGGAGACGAAAAGGCGTGGTCCGCTTCTCCGGCACGGTCCAGTTCGCATCCGGCTGGTGGTACGGCGTGGAACTGGACCGACCCGAGGGACGCAACGACGGCTCCGTCCAGGGAATCCCGTACTTCTCCTGCCCGCCCAACCACGGGGTCTTCGCGCCGCTCGCGAGGCTCGCCAAGTCAGTTTCAGCGCTTTCTCCTTTTCCGGTTATTCGGAGAGCCAGTTTAAAACGCCGAGAGACGTGCAAGGAAGACACGCGCGCTTGGTGTCGATGTGACGTGCGGAATTAAATGAGAACTTGCGTTTTTTATATTTACGTACAGTTACTCGTTCGAACCTAAAAGTCGAAGAAAACCGACAGATGGTACATGAGAAAAAGAGATGTACCATAAAAAGAAAGTAAAACCAAGGAGAGGTGACAGTGAAAGAAATAACCGACTAGTGGGGAAAGCCTCGTAGTGATCTCGAGCTTCTCAGAATGAACGTCTGCTTGCAAAATTGTGGGATGAATCAACCGAGTGATCCTGACATTAGAAACAACTCAGTTTGGGATCTCGCTTTCACATGCGTTGAAAGGTCAACGGAAAGGTAGTCGTAGCGTGAGTGCAGTACCGTGTTGACAGGCCTGAAAAGCCGAGGAGAAAGGGACAGGAAATTCATTTCCGCCCAGTATAGAATCCTGTCCGCATTTTTCACGTTCGGAATTTAAAATGATCGTGATTCATACGGCGATGGCTGAAGCGATTCGTTTGGGAATTCTTTCGGGATCGATCTGTCGAGGCTGGATGGTCGAGAGAATTCTGGTCTTTCGGGTTCTTGTTTGTTGAGGCTGTCGAGGGAGACGTATTTGGATCTTCTCTCTGATTTGTTGCTTATCCTACGGATGGAAGGGTCGCAGATGTCGAACCGGAAAATTCTCAGAAATCTGAATTATCTGATCGTTTTGACAGACGGGGGAAGTGATCAGCATTGTCCGCCGATCGGTTAACTTCGTGACTGGACTTCGCAAAAAATCACAAGTTAAGGGGAAAAAATCAATACAAAGTCGACGGAAGCCTCACAATAACAATCTGCAAAAAAAATATGAAATTTTCTTTCCTTTTCTCGCCTCGTTTCTCCGTTATTACTATTATTCACTTTTTATGCAGCACGAAACAATGATAATCTTGTGTGATCACGTCCTCGAATCCAAGGGAACAAGTTATCGCCTGCGAAAACGGGAATCATCTGCAGTCATTTGAAGTACTTTTGGCCCATTGGCACAGTCATAAAAGTACTTTCGAGTACTTTTATGAGGTGACTGCATATGGGTGGCATGCACCACCGAAAATATCCACGAACACGTTTATCCATGATTTAATCGCGTTTAAAGGCGGTACGGCTGCACCTGGAGAGAGAACGATCAGTATTATGTGCCAAGCCGGAGACGGTGTCCTTGGAAAGACGAAACCATATTCGGAATTGGAACTGAGCCATTGAAGAGGATGGAGCCGATCTCTCATCCCGGCAGCTCAGAATCGCGTCAAAAAATTATATTTTTTCATTATTTTCCATTTTCTCTGTCGCTAGATGACGAGAGGGAGATAAACCTGCGATGGAACAAGTTTATCTCTGAAGATTAATTTAAAAGAGAAATAAAGTAATTGCATTAGGCGAATGTCTCAAATCAGTTTAACGAAGAGTTCAACTCATTCTTAAACATATTTTCCTGGAATCAGATCAGTTTAGCTCCTAAACCGATGTGGTGCATGTCACCTGACCCCTCATTAATTCAAATCGATTCAATACTTTACGCAAAATACTTTCCAGTACTCCCAGTACTAGGAGTTACTTTTAAGTAAATTCAGTTACTTAAAAGTCAACCAATAAATGAATCAACCTCAATCGTTCGAATCGGTTTGGTAGCTTCCACTGGATTTGTTGTTCGGTTCGTACTTTCGGTGTTCGTGTTTTACGTGTGGTCGAGGGAAGAGCGAACGCTTCGATAAGAGAATGAATTGAAAACGTTTCTTCCGAGTCTGCTTTGAGCGCTTTCTGCTTGGGGATCTTTTTCAGACTTGCCTTGGGGGAGACATTAGTTATAAGTCGATGATTTCTTGCATTGAAGCAGCTCTCTGTTGACGGAAGAATCGAAAAGATTGAAGATTCCCATTATTGTGAGGAAATTTTCCATTTTCAACACGGTCTCTGTCTCGACCATAGATATTTTAATGTTTTTACTAGGTGGGTCACTGCTAAATACGGGAATTATTTATTTTTAAAATGTATGGATGAGTACTGTAGGACTGGAGTTTCTGAGCCTTTCTAGCGAATTTGTTTGCTTCGAAAGTAGAATTACTTCATGGAATTACTTCTCTCGCCCCTGGTCATCTGGCTTACCGCAACGGTCACAGTTGTCTACCCCTCTCAGATGTCTGCATCTCCCTCATTTTGAGTAATCCCTGTCATCTGGTCAGTATATATCTTCATTCCCACCCTTCATTTGCAGTTTCAGACACGTTCTTAATAGTAGTCTGAACATATTGCCCATTTTGAAAAAATTCTCTTGTCATTGACCCGGTGGAGGTTTTTTTTTTCGTTCTTAAATCGTCGACTTCATCTTGGCTTCATCGTGATTTGGATTCCTGCACTTGCAAGTTAGCTTCGAATGTGAAGCTGCTGTCATATGTAACTTTTTGCTCCTATCATTGAAGGGGTTCTTGAGCAAAGGATCTCTATTTGGAGTGATATTGGTGGAGACGACGAGGTGACACACAGCTCAAGTTTGTGCTTTGGTAGTCATTCCACAAGAATGCCACAACTCTTAAGATTTATTTCGAATTTTGTTTTAGGTATGCCATTGGACTCATAAGATCGCCATTGCATATTCTTGTCAACCTTTCAACATGGATTGACAATTCCCGATTATTTCCACCAGCATCAATCAGTAAACACCCTCTGGTTGAGTCAGAGACTCTGTGTTAAATAGGCGAGGTGATTCAGACATCTTCGCCGTTTTTGACATTTACTGCCCTGCCTTGTCTCCGGTTCGGCTTTGGCTGGAAAGAAGAAGACAGGGGGGGATGAGAGAGAGAGGGAGACTGACTGACACTCACAGCTGGGCACACAAACAAACATGCTCACAAAAGGAAAGGAGTTCTCGGCTTATCAATTGAAGGAGTCAGGCTCGCACATATTCCACATCCTGTCCCCTTTCCCCCCTCCCATTGATCATGCCATAGGAAAGTATTAATTTTCCATCATCCCATTTTCGAACCCCCCTCGTCCGCAGTGAAATACGATTCCTTCATTCGTTTGCATGGGATAAGGAAGTCGAGGTTGGGTTGGGGACGAAGGGAAGAGGCAAGGTTTCATCAGGAACACCTGGGTCGCGCTTCCCTTTAACTCACCTGCTGGGGCGAAACGGTGATGAAAGCCGCGCTCCCAGGGCGAGGCTCTGTCGTACTGCTGTTCGATCGACCCTGTGACTGCCACAAATGAGGGTGCCATTTTCCCCTGTGGGGAATATGCGTTTGCGCGGGCTCCCTTGCGATCAAAGTTGAACGCTTGTTTCAGAAGTCATGAGGGAGCGTTTCTTTCGACAAAGACAGTCGAAGGAGTGAAAAGATGGTCGAGTGAGAGATTCCGAATCATGTTCTTTTGCCGATCGTCAGCCAACGATCTCATGGCTTTAAGTACTCGAACATTTTTCGTGTTACGTCCAAGGGAGAAAGATGGCTCTATAGTCAACTTATCTGTCGTTAGCTTCATTCATTGTTCCCACTTTGATCTTTGAAACAGAATGCTGATGGTTACTGATGGCTAAAATTTAATGATTCGAAGGTCAAGTGCCTATTCCCTCAATGATCTTAAGTTAGAGATCGATAGCTACTAATCGTGCGATTATCAGGTGGCTTTACATGCTACCTTGTTTCATCCCGAAAAGGCCCATATCTCCAGCGGTTTTTTAAGTAATGATTTCAGAAAAGTTTTCAGCTCATGGATTGACTGTCACTGTGGACGCCTGGATCAGCATATATATTTATGTCTAGGGCTCTAAGTTTAAGCTGTTTATCGTTGTGCAAAAAATGCACATTGCTCGCGAAATTTTGAGCTTGTTGAGCTAGACTAGGTGAGGATTGGATACGAGCTACAACATTTAAATTGTCAAGTTTGGAGAAATGACATTATTTTGACCGTTGACCTTAATTCTAAAGGTGTCAACATATTTCACGTGTCGCGATTGTTTGCGAAAATGTTCTCTCTCGCCATTATTTTGCAGCTCGAAAATTTTCAAGCCACTTTCACCTGTTTGATATAAATGACCTGGGCCATCGAATTGGCCCCACGACGATTGCACAGCGGTCAGCGGCCTCACGAGATTTCAAGCGTTTCGCACCGTTTGTGGCCGACTTCTTACTCTAAGGTGGATTTAAATAAAATAAATTCAAATAAATTTTTATGAAATTCCATCCAGTTGGTTCGCCTGCTGGCGGTGAAGTCTGCGTCTTCGTGCGGAAAATCAAATTACCGAAATCTCTCTTATCCGTGTGATCTCTGGCAGTAATTAAGCAATTGCCAAGGAATGTAACGCGATTATGTGATGATTACATGGGATTACGAGAAGATTATCCCTCACGGTGACATTACTTTAAGATAATTATTTGTAAGAATGCATTATTTTAAGCAATATTTTCCTAAGACTGGCTACGACGAATTCAGTTATTTTCTTCACTGCAAATACATTTTAGTACTGCCTCAACTAATTCAGTACTTTCAACTTCCAGTCAAAAATTTTTTTCGTACGACTCTCCCGACTTCCCTTGGAAGTGAAACACACACAACTTCCTAGCTGGGCGGAAAAATTGGCACTTAATTACTTCATTGCTTAAAATCCGATCGGTATTTTTTTTTTAAGTTCCCTCCAAGGTGAGTCTGTGTTTGATCGCCGTGATAAGGAGCAGACGCCACCCCAACTTCGTGGCTTCCATCAGGACATTATTTTTAAAAGCTTATTGATCGCTTCATCATTTTCCCTTGGTCGATCCCGGTTTGCTATGGGAAAGCCAAATCGCAAGAAAGCCTTGTTCTTCCGCCAAACTCGGCAACGGAATGCCCATTTGTGAGTAAACATGCCCGCGGTAGTACATTAACCTCGTTGCATTTACCTCCATTTACTGACGAATTACTCGATTTGACGTCAGTAGTTTTTCTGAGAATATGCTACTCAATCGTCACCGGATTCTTTCTATGTAGTGGCAGGAACGCACGTGTTTGATGCAACCGAAACGCATCGGAGCATGCAGTCGGGAAGCCATTCACCCGCCATTAACTTTATCGTCTTGCTGCCTGTAAATGACGCGTGGGCAGATGCGAGTGAAACTCTTTGAGTGGGTCAGCCCTCAAGAAGTGAATTGACCGAGGAAGACTCCCTAGACCCTGGATGCGTTTGCCAAGAAGTGCTAATGGCAGGCAATTTTTGCGCCAGAATTTCTTGAGTGGTCTGGCACCCATGTCATAATTAAAAAAAAAGAAGCACAGTAAGGCTCAATTAAACCTCATAAACTCATAAAACCATCAAGTCCAGATGGAGGAGATGAACGGAATTTTTCCCGGATGTTTTTTTTTTCTCCTAACCTGGAGGAAATGTGCAATCCTGAACTTCATGCGAAAATGAGCAGTGAAAGTGGGCATTAAAATGAGTATTATTGCACTCAATTATTGCTAAGGGTCATTAAAAAAGCTTCCTGATTTGAGTGTGATGCAACTTTCGTTACATTTATGTACAGCCTTTTGAAAAGTGGTCTGCAGATAAAAAAGGTTTTCAGATGACCTTGATGATCTCTACATTGACTTATATTATCTTCAACTGCACGTTAGACTTGCATCTTAAAATCCCGAAGACTTTTGGATTTTGGCTATTTTACTTTCCCTTTCAGACTCCCCCAAAGAGAGAAATCAGTGGAAACAGATCAGGAGTCTGCAATGGCCAGGGAACTTTTCCATAAACCATTCCACACGTTTGCAGTATGGGGAATGGCACCTTCCTCCAGAAACCATTTCCTTTCGACAGCTTGCCCTTTTTTTTAATATGTTCAACATGATATGATTAGCATTTTTTTAACAGGAATATTAGCTTGCTGAGGTGGCGGTCATTATAAAAGAAATGCCCGATTACAGACGACTATGACAATCCCCACCATGCCGCGATTTTAGGGAAGTGCAAGAGAAAGTTTATGCTTTATTTTTTTGCTCAAAAAACGGGAGTTATCACAGTTTATCAATTAAATGAATTTTACTCATCGGATCACCAAGAATGACTCATAAAATACTCGTCATCTGCACGTGATAGTGAAATCCCACGAAGTTCCACCCAAACTTGTTTCTTTCAGTCGTTTAACTGATGAATGGAATTACCATAAGGAGATGATTTTATGTAGCTTTCGAGGATTCTCTGTGGAACTGGATTTGCATTTTTCTTGAGGCTGCTTCTGGTGCTCGTTTGCACAAGTCGCATATTTTTACAGGTCACGGGCCAGCATCAACCCCTGTTGCGATTCGTAACACTGCTTTTCCTATATTGAACTGGCTTGAGCAGATATGTGGTTGGTTGGTCGGTGTTAAACGCGAATGTTATTCGCGTCACGTCAGTATGCTCTCAGTAGCAACACAGACTGAGTGTCAATAAACACGAGGTAGATCAATCTCCTGACCTTCTCGACCCGTTAGCACCTGCGAACAAATAAATAACATGTTAATACCGATACAAGATTTGTTTAAACTTCGGCTGTTTTTTTTTATGTCTTGGCTTTTTATCTGTGAATTTCAATGTAAAATACCCGATGCTGTAGGCCAACCCATAAAGAAGGACTTCATGTTAGCATTAGAACTCTGTTGGTCCATACAAAAAGGCATCAGACGACATTTGAAAGAAAAAAAAAAACGAGTTTCGTATCGTAATAGGAGTTTCCGAGGACACTTAGATTGTCGCAAAGCACCAAGTGATATCCCGCCATTAAAGTGGTTTTCAGGCCGATGCAAAACGCACCAAATGCATCGGCAGACTGCTGCAGCAGGCCAAAGCATGTTTTCTAAGCATTTTATTTTCCCAGATTTTATGGGCTCTTGTTCTAATTGAAAGAATCACACCCTTCACGCTGCCAGTCCGGAGTTGTTTTTTTTATTTATTTTATTTTTCATCGCCCTTATCGAGTTTCATGCAGTACTTGATCTGTACGATGCAGATTGGGAGGCGACGGAGAGGAGGAGGAAGAGGAGGAAGAGAGCGAATTTGATTCCCTGGACCAAGGCAGCATGTGCACGATGAGCGGCCGGAGTTCCCTCATCGACTCTTCCTCCATGAGCACGAATCCCTACGCGACGCTGAGAAGAACCTCGTCCATGAGACACCACAAGTCCGCCTACAGACCTCCCCCGCCTCCCTCGACGACGTCCACGTACGCGTCCACGTACGCGTCCACGTCGACGTCCACGTTCTCCCGGAGCTACTCCGTGCGATACCCGTCGTCGAGGAATTCGGGCGGTGGAGTCCAGCCGCCGTGGCAGTCGGTGCCCTTGGAACCCGAGAAACCCAGAAGGAGGAAGGACAAAGATCACTGGCTCTCGCTTGGCATGAATGTCCTCTTCAATCACGAAGTCGGTTCGTACTCGTGGATGCCATCGAAAGATATCGATGGGAGGGGCAAAGAGGAATGGATAAAGTTTTTAAAAAAAGAAGAGGCTAATGATTTTGCAAATGCTAATACCGGTGAAAATACTTATTTTAAGCCTTTCGTACATGTTGTCTACTGTAATGGACGGCAATGATTTTGGATATGTTGATGGCTTTTCAGCCACGGTACACATACCTCGAAACTTTGGGTGCAATACAGTTCACTCCAGGGCACATATTCTCTATTCGGTGTTATAGCTGTGGAACATGCGACTACTACAGCAGAGTGCCTACTTAAACGTTAAATAAAGAAAATGCATATTTTTCTTTTGCTTTATTAACTTATCGATTTATGTACGAAAGGGTTAAATGAATTTGAATAATGGAAATAATGTTTGTGAAACAAAAACTGAACCTCTCCATATCTGACCCCCCCCCCCCTTCATCCACTTCGACGATTGACGCAATATTTTATTTCTCTTTTAGGAGTGATCCGTTGGCTGGGACGCGTGGATTTCGCGGATGGGATATGGCTGGGATTGGAGCTTCGAGGAAGGAAGGGGAAACACGACGGCGCCGTGGACGGCAAGAGGTACTTCACGTGCAAACCCGGTCACGGGATCTTCGTCCGACCCTCCAACGTCACCGTGAGGGGGATCAACGGCGCCAAACTGGTGAAGCCTCCCTCCGAGATCGACGTGGACCTGGACCATGCGCATTCGCCTGCGATTCCCGCCATTCTCACCACCAGGCTTTAGGAGTCGTGTGGGTTTTTCTTGCCGAGATACCAAATATTCTCTGTCTTGCGTTTTACTTCTTCGATCTGTGTATTGAGTTTAGTGCTTTCGAGGTGCTGCTTTCTCCTTGGGCTGGGACCTTTTTACATGGAGAATAAAGTTGGATGCGTAGCGCTATTCCTGTTAGTGTCGATATCCCTCTGCTTCGAGGATGATCAAATGTCTCTTGGTAGGTGTAGGGATAGGATGCCTTTTCTACATACTCCCAAAGCATTTTATTCTCATTTAAAGTGAATAATTCGATTTTAACTCGATGTTTCTCATACATGAGGTGGGGAACGGCGGTGACTGAACTGCGCCGTGAGTTCCTGGGGGGAATGTTCAGGGGAAAAGAAACTTGACAGCTATGGCGTCAATCACCGGCGAAGAGTGATGTTTTCGTAGAGTAGACCCTACCATTTTTCACAGCGAATCTGCTTCTGGGACGGTTGATGGATTCGCGGTGGGGAGGGGAAGAGGGGAAAAGGGGGGGGCACGAGACGGGAGCCGTGAAGAATAGACCTTCGGATTAGTGTCGAGGTAGAATAGGATAAATGCGAACCGAGGGGGCGTTTTATGGCAGGTCTCACGAGTGAATCTCTCCTCGTCTCCCATTTCCTGACGATTCATGGGCTTTCTCCTTGGTCTGCGGTTCTCTGACTTCATCAGGTGGTAACCCGAGGATTCTCAGCTAATCTATCTCCTTTCCGTGAGAGAAAAGGCTGATGGCGTTTCGCCGAATGGGATCAGAATGAGAATAGGTAATCTAGCACCTTTTTCTCGGATTTTGGAGTCTCTTTTAACTTCGCTGTCGACTTAATGAACTCCGATGGACTCCAGTGGAAGAGGTGACGCTGCGTGATAAATTCCTTACAGCCAATATAATTGCAAGTGAAAGCCATAGGGGGATCACGCGTGATGCATATACCTCGACCCAAAAAAAATGGTGCCGCCTAATCTGTTCTGTCGTCTCAATCACGTAGCCGAACGGTCTCACGGAATCCGGCCAACTTCATCATGCGTTCGAGTTTTCCTTCTCGTTTTAGGACATGATGGTGAGAGACAAATAGGCTCAACATCAGTTTGGTGCCTGCGGGATTCAGGTTTGGTATATGTATCATTCCACAGTGTTCCATGGGAGGAGTCGAAAGATACCTTTATCGTAGGATGACATATCAGGAAATTTGAGGTCTTCACATTATTCTCTATGGAGAATACTGGAGAAGGGAGCTGCCATGTCGAACGGAGGTCGATAACGCCCGCTTTCCTTCGAACAGTAGTACCAAAGATACTCGACTGGAAAAATTTTTTTTCTCTCTTATTTAGCGTTAAACTTTTAGGTTAGGTGAGGTTAGGTTAGGTTATGCGGCTAAACCATCATAGCACTAACACGGTTAGTGTTAGCCTATGATTTCCTCAACCTCGGTTCGGTGTCAAAGGCCAAAGAGTGAGAAATTACATTTTTCACTATTTCGGTCAAACATGGAAGGAATGCGGCTCGCTTGGTCTGTGTTTGTAGTTAGTTTATAATAGAACGATTGGGTTTATAGTAAAAAGCAAAAAAAGCCGATGGGACGTTCGCCTTAATACCGAGTCACAAGCAGGGGTGGATACAGAAATTTTTCATTGGGGGGGCGGTTCCCAAGTTCCTACTTACCTCCCCCCCCCCCCTCCCCCCCTGCTTACCACCATTCCTCGTCCTTTCGCCTTTTTTATTTTTCGTCTGGGGTAAGAATTTTAGTATCTATTTCACTGGCTCCAATAAAATTTATTGCAGATGCTATTTTGAATAAATAAATCAAATGCTAACCTGGCCATAGGGGGGGCCCCCCCCCCCCCTGTATCCGCCCCTGGTCACAAGTGATGATATTCTTGAGCGAGAACACGGAGATGGCAGTGGCGCTTACTGTTCGAAGGAAAGCGGGCGTTATCGACCACCGTTCGACATGGCAGCTCCCTTCTCCAGTATTCTCCATAGAGAATAATGTGAAGACCTCAAATTTCCTGATATGATGTCATCCTACGATAAAGGCATCTTTCGACTCCTCCCATGGAATACTGCAGGCTCCAAACTAAAGCCAAACCGAAAAATAAAAACATGTCTGAAGAGGGCGTCGCTAACGTCATTTACGTACACCATGGGTGTAGTTATTGGATGTGCAATATGAAAGCCAGCTGTGAAGCGCTAAGCCTGTAATATCTGCGTACACTCCATTCGCACGAATGCTATTTCATGCTGTCAGCATTTTTATAGCGCCGTTCGAGAAATATTTGCGAGCGATTTACGGCATATATCCCGAAAGCTGGTTCGCTGCTCTTGTATAGACCATGACATTGGCTCGTATCTAACCAGAGCAAATACTAATTTGCAAGGTTGTTACCCTCCCGTAGGAGGGCGTGAGAAATTAAATTAGACTCATTAATTGTTCCCCTCCACGGAAATCTTTAGTAAAAGGCGAAAGATTTATTCGCTTTGAAGGGAAACCAGAGTGAGGTATAAATGCGGAGACCTTCGATCACACGTCGCTCGCTTCATCTTCCGCTTCCTAAATGCCACAGTTTATTCGGATCCACCATTTTAATCTATTGTTATATGTCAAATTCTTTAATTTTTTTCATCAGAGAGGCAATGGAGGTACAGATATCGCAGGCTGCCACGAGAAAACACGCGACGCTACTCAAAGCAAAGGAGAGGATCGTAACGGGACTGATGGCGAGGGGACCCTAGTGACATCTAGCGGCCGATTGCGGTACTTGGGAGAGCGCTGGCTCGTGGCGTGGTCCTCTCGTTTCCCTTCCGAGTTTCCTGTTCAATACGCGTATTTCTGAGTTCTGGTATGTTGACTGTATGCGAGAAAGCAGCGTGCAGAATGGAAAAGTAACGGGAAACATGGAATGCTGTTGAGTTCTGGAGCCATTCCTTCCCTTTCTCTTAATCCGTTCGGAATTAAATTAAAATTAAACAGTTTTTGGCGGAGATATGTACCGCTGATGTATCTACACGATCGTCATCCCTCGATTACATTTTTCACGAGTATCAGAGAACTGCGATGAATGCAGACAGAATGCAGCATTATCATCCTTTTCTCGCAGTTCTTCTCACTTCAATAAGAGGGAGCCAATCGGAGCAATTTAGCAAGCTGCGCGGATCGTTACCAGAGTATAGAGTGTAATTAGGAGCATGGAATCCCATTCATCGACGGATCGCCATGTGGACGTCGCTTTCGATTCCAGCTTACATACGTGAATGCGCGTGACTCTGTTTCAAGCGTCCCATGACAAAATGTCAGGACGTCATGTCAGGACTGACAGTGCTCTCGTGCTTCTCTACGTTCCGCTGGCAGCTGCTTGCTCGAGAACGACTTCATTTAATGACACGGTCGTGGAAGGAAAGAGGCGTCTCTTCGACGGCAGCTGCAAGCAACTGAAAAAAAGATGCTCCCATTGACTCCCCCAAGGCCAAGCAACGGACCAGACACCTGTATTCCACCGAGGGACTCCCTGTGAGTCGAATTCCGGATCCACCGTCACGAGAAGCCCCACACGGAAGTGTTGCTGATAGGGGGGCACCATATGTCTCTATAACATCTGGAGTCGCTTCTTGATACGCTCTTCGATTTTTATTCTCTCGGAGGAGAAGGAGAAATTTCTTAATACTCATTTGTTGTTCCCCTCCACGGAAATCTGTAATAAAAGGCGAAAGATTTAACCGATTCGAAGGGAAACCAGAGTAGGTAATTATTCGGATATTTTGAATTTGACCTCCTTCTTCGTCTCCATAACGTTGAACCTGCGAACATTTGTAGATGCCATCTCCAAAAACAAGAAAAGAGGACAGACAGAGCAAAATTCAATGTAAAATCTCAAGTGGCATCTAAAATTCAAAATTTGTAGCAATTTGTGAAAAGAGGCACGCAAGCACGAGAGCGCGAAGGGGAGAGAACAGGTGGAGCCATCTCTGGGTTCTCACGAGTACTAGAATCGACACGTGAAATCCAGTTAGGGGTGGCGGAAACCATCTGGAGGCGGTGGAATCCAGTTGAAGGCGGTGGTTTTCCCTTCATTTACGAGGTAGTTTTCCCACATTGCAAGTTTCTTTTTTCATAGGTTCCACGTGCTTAGGAAAGGAGAGCGCTCACGTGTAGATTCGCGTGCATGATAAATGCATGCAGGTCTGAACGAGGGCGTCTGATTCCGGTTTTTCCCCGGTCAGTGCACCTCCTTGTTGAGCCAGCGATCCGCCGTGCCAGGCAGACCGGTATCCACCGAACAGGAAACCACCGCATTCGAATGGCAAGGGGCACCGGGAGGAACCCTATCTAATTGAGTTCCGTCTCATTGCATTCAAATGAGACACGGTACGTATTCGGAGCACCCAAGTGTAGAGAACTAAAAATCGAAGGTGTCGCTCGCCGTGATGCTGAGGCTTAGAGCTTCGCAGCAGTGCGGACCGACCCGATTGACCCGACTCGAGCCGGGCGACAGACACGCACATAGTAAATGTATAATAATAAAAAGTTACTAAATTGTACCTGATTTCTTTCATTTCCTCTTAACCTCAGCATGCGAGAGTGCAGAGCAATGCACATGTCCAGCACGTAACAGCGGCAACTCCATTTCGTGTGCCATTCATTCGCAGAATTTCATAGGGACCACAAAAACTTGATTATCTTCATTCACACTGGAGTGTGCTCAGAAAGGTGGAGGGAAACGAAAGAACTTAGCCACGAACAACCGCTCACACAAGTTCAGCATTCGGCCGCTAGATGTCACTAGGTTCCCCTCGCCATCAGTCCAGTTACGTTCCTCTCCTCTGCTTTGAGTAGCGTCGCGTGTTTTCCCATGACAGTCTGCGATATCTGTACCTCCATCGTCTCTCTAATGAAAAAAATTAAAGAATTTGACATATAATAATAGATTAAAATGGTGGATCCGAATAAACTGTGGCATTTAGGAAGTGGAAGATGAAGCGAGAGACGTGTGATCGAAGGTCTCCGTATTTCAACTCCACTCTGGTTTCCCTTCAAAGCGAATAAATCTTTCGCCTTTTACTAAAGATTTCCGTGGAGGGGAACAATTAATGAGTCTAAGTTAATTTCTCACGCCCTCCTACGGGAGGGTAACAATCCAAAGATCCAGGGTGTTGCCGCTACGAACTCCGAAATACAGCTACGTGGAATCTGCACATTCCAACTGAATGAGGTAATCGTTGCTATCCTCTTTTACGGAGAAGTAATTAACCACCATACTGCGAAGAATTCATTGACAATGAATTGCCTTTCCCCAAATGGCATCACCTGATGCCGCATTCTTTTTACCTGAGTAGGCCAGGCCCGTTTTCAAAACCACAGTGGGAAGGGATGAGGGACAAAGGTCTGTACAATGTAACAATACTCAATATCAAAAGGCAATATTCCAAACAATTGCATCTAGGAATTTAAACAACCGACTTGTCATTGCCAAGCAATTGCGCTTGGACCGCAACAGGAGCCATGTTGAACTGAGGTCAGACGATCGAAATGGGGCTTCGGACAACCCTGAACCCCAGCTCAACTCCGTCATGGTGGACATCAATGCGCGCACAGGGGGCATCTCCCATGCTACTCAGAATCAGCCGAATCTTGTTTTGATCCACTGGTTAGACCCCTTCTGTTAAGCCGATCTTCAGTCGATTCACACCAGCAACTCCTACTTTAACGAGATCCACATAACCCTGCACAAAGGGAATTCAGAATCGTGACATTAACTCACGAATCGCGCATGGTTCATTTTTGGTTGGACTTGTGTGGATAAGGACATAGAGGTGTATTTTAAGTAAGACTTCCCAGGTTAAGTTGGACCTATATTAGCTAATATTTATACAACTGGTTTAATTTTTTATATTTTTATTCACCCGATACAGTATGCACGAGTCCGGCTGAAGTTCACTTAGAAATAGCCACTTTAATTCATTAAGCCTGCGTTACGCCGTGGTGGCCCAAGGCATAGGTGATTTGGAACACAGCTAGGCCTAGCTGCAGCCGAACATGGTGATGTAGGGTTAGCATCAACGTTGCATCTAACATTATCTGGGGACAGCATCAATTTGTAGCATTCCCTTGGAGAGAGCACCAATGTCACAATGTCTCTCATAGCATTTACCTTTAATCTGTCCAACAGTCACAATAGTTTGAATTCTCAATGTGGACAAAGATATTTAGAATGCACCACCACCTGATGTATATTTATTATATGGACTGTGTTCAAAGGCATATATATAGAAGTGTAGCACCTTGTTACAGAAGCAAGGCCAGCCACTCCATGTACCTAACTCTTATTGAGGCCAGGATTTTAAACTTATTTTTCGATATTTTGATAGATTGCATTGGTGTAAGTTAGTGTATCAACAGATACCAACATTTCATATCTATTGGGTATGTTTTTGGTTTCAACATGGCTGGGTCACAAGTCTCTTTCACTCTTTCCGAATCCAGAAGAGACTGTAATCAAAATCAGGAGTCAAGTTACATTTGTCTTTAAAACCCCTATTTGGTCTTTACAAAATTTGAGCCTGGATCAGCAATAGGCTTAAACGCTTAGAATATTGTGCATGCATCTTCACTTAATTTATTTGAGCACATACCAGAATCAGTAATACCTGGATCAGTGCATTCCCATGAATAATCAATGGGCCAGAATATTGCTTTCAGTTATCCTACTCAACCTGTGCCTAAAATTCATGTTGGCATAATAAAGGGTGGCCATAAAGTCTGGAAACATAGGATATATTAAGATGATTTTTTGGAATGGAAATGCCAATTTACTTAATTGAGTTCATCAACACTTCAAATGTTGCCTTCAAATCCATTTATTCAATGGGAGAACATTTTGAACATTTATTTTAGTTTATTTGTATGTTATCTTAATATATCCTTAATACAATCCTATGTTTCCAGACTTTATGTATAAGACGACCTTAGCCTAGAATTAGACTGATGTTCTAATTCCTTCTACCCATTTAGCACTCATTAAAGAAGACTAAGAGATAAATTAGGTGTTGCTTGCTCTCCAATTGCAGTGTGTAAGTAGGTCACCCAGACTCGACTTGTGACATGAGCCCTCTCCTGTGATACTTGTATCCATGGCCACATGTGTTCCCTGCGATAGATCTCCATATATATGAACATGTAAGCATGACTAGGCCTACACCACGCACTTATGAAGTTGATCCTCTGTAGAACAGACCTAAAACACCACAACCTGCAGGAGGTGTCCATATACATTTCTGCTTGTTGCTCCGACAGAAAGTGGCACATCACCTATAATTGCTTCATTGACATTGGGTTATTTAGTTATAACAACAACCTAATTATTTCAGGCATACATTTGCTTATCCTAAACCAGAATTTGATCTTTTCTAGGCTTTGTTGCTGATTCAGTCAAGTCATGTATTTACTCCTGCGTTAAAGCAGGCTCCAAGTCAGATTCAAGTGTGGGTCAGACATCATGCCATCAAGAAAGAACAAAAAGATTCCGAAGTATAATGTGCAGGTAAGTCCCCTTCATTAAGACATTAGGCGTAAGCTAAATGTTGATGATAGGACAAATTTTGAAGATGTTATTGATCTTTTTATATGTTGGCTACTGTGAGACACACTGGTACACCTCACTGAGTACAAAAGTCATAACAGTCAACATATTAAATTGCAAACTGCTATTTATTGCCTTGATTTGTTGATATATATGTTTTCACTCTTGTTTCAGCCAACTGCAGAAGAGCTCAAAGAGGCTGAGGAAGCTGTGAAAGTCAAGTATTCAGACTCACAGAAGGTGTTCATAGAACTGGATATAGATGGGGAACGTGCTAGCATTGATCTTGAAGAAGGCATCCCATTAGTCAAAAAGGAGGAGTTTGTAAGTCCACTGAATGATTTGGTGGATGGGGAAACGAAATCCACCAGAGAGAAACCCCTATCAGATGCTTCACGTGCCAAGGGGAAGTCTTCGGCCAAACGGTCGAAGTCTAAGACTCCTTCCAAATCGAAGTTAGTGTTTTTGTTGTTTTTTTTGCATCTAATAAAGATTTATCTGCTCAATTATCCAGTTCACAGAGCCTTGAAGTTAATCCCTGTTCTTACCTGTTGGAATGTCTTTCTTGCTTCAGGTCAAAGAAGTCTGTGAAAACAGATGAAAATTCCAAAGCAGGCTGCTCTCCAGACAGCAAAAAAGGTGAAGAGCTTCAACCTAAAGCCTCAGTGCTTCCTGAGGCATTGGTGAAGCTTATTGACGATTATGACATCGAGGACGCCCCTGCCAGACCTATTAGCTACTATAGGTAATGAAAGTAGTTGAATTTAGAGATATTGGGCCTTGCACTGGTTTTCCAAGTCATATCTTGAAATATTGAGGCAGTGGTGGAATGTAGTTTTTATTCATGTAAAGAGTTTTTAAGACTCAATAGGCATCCCACAGTACTGTGTTGCTCCCTCAAACCTGCATAGAGTTTGAAAATTATTTGCAAAAGAACTCATGGCTAGTTGCTAGTGCTGTAGTTTTAAATTATCATTTAAATATTCTCTAAGTCCTGGAAGTCATCATAGTATGCACTTCCAAAGCACTCAGTGGGCCACATTTTCTCCACCCTTGTTTTATGGGTATGCATTAAATGCAATTATAATGATAATAAACAGATATAAATGCATTTCCAGCCCCAAGACTGTGTACCTACATAAACCCATTCTTTTCCCATGAGATTTTCACATTAGCTCCTGTCAATTTCATTTGCATATATGCTCATACCTGTGTATACCCTCAACTGTAGCTCAGCTCATGGCATGTTTGATACTTCATGGAGTCTTCTTGCATTTGTGAGAAAGTAACACCTGGAACCATTATTGATCTTACAATGATCATTGTGCTGAATTGAGTAAGGCTGTGTTAAATGCTGTGCTGTGCTCCTGCATAGGAGCACAGCACAGGCCAAGGTGATTTGCAGATGAGGGCCTGAGCCCACATGCCTGACAGTGGCAGGTTCAAGGACATAGATGCCATATGGTTCTTTACTGTGGTTGAAGTTTTGAGTTTTGTTTCTCAGGTACCCTACGTAATCAGGTCTTGTTGTGTCATATTTGGTTTCCAAAAAAAAGCAGGCAGTACCCAAGCAGTGATATTTGCTTTCTCTCTTGATGTATTTGTCTTTTGTTAGATTTGCAGAATGGGCAGCTAGGGTTCCTAATTTTTATGTTGCATTTAACCCCTTCATGTCCATATTTGACAAGGAAAACCTAAAGTAGGGCTATCAAAGGTCTTTGTCTAGTGTTGTGAGCAATTTATGTTTCTGTAGATTCATTGAGAAGCTGGCTGATGAACTGGATGAGGAGGTGGAGTATGATATGGATGAAGAGGATTGTGCGTGGCTTCAGTTGATGAACAGTCGTAGGGAAGCTGAAGCTGCTCCACCAGTAACCATGGAGAACTTTGAACTCCTCATGGACCGACTTGAGAAGGAGTCCTACTTCCAGATGCAGTTCTCTGGCAAAGAACATGTGAGGTCCTATAACTTCCAAAGTATTTCATTTGAGGCATCATTGAAAACCAAAGCTTGCCTTGGTTTGTTTCATGCCAAGGAGTGATTTACAAGTCTTTGTTTCATGTAGAGGATCATGCACTTTGTCACAAATTAGAATGTGGCATAACTATACATAACAGGGACTTTGTCATTAGCCGTTCCATAAATGAGCAATCGTGTAGAGTTTACTTCACTCTGTTATACAAATCAACCAAGATTCAAGAAGACTTCCAGGAATCTTCATGAGAGTTTTGTGGAGATGAAGAATATTGCAGACATCATATCAAAGATTATACGTGGACACTTCTGAAAATTCCAATGTGACTGAATATGATAGGATTGATGTGACATTTCAGGGGGTAGGAATTCTTACCTCTCTAATCATCAGGTGACAATCAGCATGCTTATGGAACCAAATTCTTTCCAAAGAGAGGTAATCAATGAATAAAAAAGCACCACAAGTGTGCTCTTTGGTATATATGTACGATAATAAAGATAAAGTTTGACCCAGGAGATATTAAGCTCATTGTAAATCAGTCCTTTGAAAGATAGTTACTCTGAAAATTCTACTTTATGCACTTCATTTTCCCTCAAACTTTATTAATTATTTCTACCAATGTAACCATGAAAGATATTCCTTAAGATTCAGTCACATGCTTACATGTTGTCACTGTCATCACGTTTTCTTAGAAATGAATATTCTGAATATTATTTTGTCAGAGGTGCATGTTTATCACTCCTGAATATGGGAGTGAATGGGAAGGAAGACCAATTTTGGATTGTATGTTCACCATTCTTGCACTTTAGTCTCCAGCAAGGTCAGTAATTCAGTGAATTAGATCTAATTGAAAATTGGGCTAGCTCTGTGATCATAGCCATGAAAGGAGGCATGAAATTTTCTGCAGGGTTGAGGTGATTCAAAGAGGTGGTTCAGACCATGCTTATGTAACAGCTAGGCTTTTTTATTCTCATTGGTGAGCTTGAGAAATATACTATGAAAGCTCCATCCCACCCAATCAGGAGATATCTTAGAATGTACCTCATACACTTGGAGACTACCTAAAGTGAATAACCATCATCAATGAAAACATGGGAAGGTGGCATGCATGCTTGCATCTTTAGTATTGAGATAGAACACTAGGAAAAGCAATTTATTCAAGGCCTGTGTTTGCTTGTTCTGCTTCAGTGCTACATGTAACGAGTTGAAAATATTTGTAATATTGAAATATTACCAGAGCTTGAGTTCAAAACCAACTGAATGCATTGCAATTGGAGTATTTTTAGGGGGTTAATATTGTTAATTTGTCTCTGTGTAACATTTTGGTATTGATATTGGTATTGATATTGGTAAAGAACATGGCATTAGAAATACTGCTAAAGAAGTGAGAATTCACAGTTTGAATGTTCTGTAACAAGGATGTTTTCACTTTTGGTATTGAAATGACACACAGGGAGTCCCAATTGATGATGATGCCATCTGCTGCATCTGCATGGATGGAGAGTGTGAGAACACCAACGTGATCCTGTTCTGCGACATGTGCAACCTGGCTGTGCATCAAGAGTGCTATGGAGTTCCCTATATCCCAGAGGGACAGTGGCTGTGCCGCCGGTGCCTCCAGAGCCCATCACGTGGTGTAGACTGTGCCCTATGTCCCAACTCGGGTGGGGCTTTTAAGCAGACGACAGATGGGCGATGGGCTCATGTTGTCTGTGCCATCTGGATCCCTGAGGTCCATTTCTCAAATACTGTGTTTTTGGAGCCCATTGACAACATCCAGAACATTCCAGCTGCACGGTGGCGGCTCACGTGTTATATTTGTCGTCGAAGAGGAGTTGGAGCTTGCATTCAATGCCAGAAGAGCAATTGCTACACTGCCTTCCATGTTACATGCGCTCAACAAGTGAGCAGCCGTTTATTCTCAACGCCAATGAGCTGTTGGTGTTTGATCTGTGGATTTATATATACTTCTTTTTCATACAGGCTGGTCTTCATATGAAAATCGATGCAGCCCGAGAGCACGTAGGGAACGTGTTGGTGCCATCGGTGAAGAAGTCTGCCTACTGTGATGCCCACACCCCCCAAGACTCAGACTGTAAACCGCAGGTGAACACTGTAAAGCGGGAGGAGAAGAAGCATAAGGGGAAGAGGTCGGGCGCCCCGATGGTCATCTCTATCCCCACGTTACCCCCAGAACGCATCCAGCAGATCGCGTCGGTCGTCACGTTCTCCAAGAAGAGCCAGTTCATGCAACGCTTGATGGCGTATTGGATGCTGAAGCGCCAGTCCCGCAACGGGGTTCCCCTCCTTCGCCGCCTCCAGTCCATGCATCCGAGTCGCAACAGCCGTCTGCTCGAAGGCATCCCCGACGAGAAGACGCAAGCCATGTTCAAGCAGCTGCGTGAATGGCAGCAATTGCGGCAGGACCTAGAACGCGCTCGTCTGTTGTGCGAACTGGTGCGAAAGCGCGAGAAGACCAAGCGGGAACTCATGGCCGTGAGGGAGCGGGAGTTGACTCTGCGACTCACACCCCTCAACTGCATCCTCCATCAAGTCCTGGACGCTCTTCAGGAACGAGACACTCAGGAGATATTTGCCGAACCTGTGGACACTGAGGAGGTGACCGATTACTTGGACGTGATCACGCACCCGATGGACTTCTCCACCATGCGAAAAAAGGTCGACAATTGCCAATACGCCCGGGTGGAGGACTTCGAAAGCGACTTCAGCCTTATGATCCGGAACTGTCTCACTTACAACTCCAAGGACACCGTCTTCTACAAAGCAGGCGTCCGAATGAGGGACTTGGGCGGTGGCATCCTCCGACAAGCCAACCGCGACCTGGAAGCCTCTGGTTTCGATCCGGGAACCGGGCTTGTCCGTGAGGAAACTGGCGTCAACCGAGAGGACGACGATGACGACGACGACTGTGATGTGATTGCAATCTTGTACGGTGAAGATAGAAAGCAGCTGCCACTCCGCCGTCAGCTGGATCTCCTGCTTGAAGCGAAGGATCGAATCTCGTGGATTCCCCATGCCGCCACCCGAGCGAAGAGGATGAAAGCCGTGAAGTTGGAGATAGTGAAGGTGAGGCGAAAGCTGGCTTTGGAAACGGCTAGCGACAGCGACAACGAAGTCGGGGAAGTGAAAGAACCCAAAACCTGCGAAGATGCAGAAGACGTGACACCCCGGAAATCCAAACGATCCCGGGCGCCGTCCAAAGTAGAAACAAACGGACCCGAAAACACGAAACAAGACGAGGGAAAGAACCCGGCGAACAAGGAAGAATCGGTCGAAGACGGAGACGACGAAGAAGATGGCGAAGTGCAGAAGACCGGCCCGAGACGCAGGCAGTCCTCGGGACGAGGGAAACGGAAGAGAGAAGAAAAGGAATCCGAGATTGAAAAAGAAAAAGACCGACCCTTAGCCGGCGTGAATCGCCGAACGGCCGTTCTCTTCGCCAAGAAAGCCTCTGCCCTCAATGCGAACAGCCACAACAACAGCAACGGTGGGACCAACCACGACGTCCCCCCTCCGGCCGAGCCGGAACCCAAACCCAAGTCACCCGAGAAACGAGGAAAGAAGGCTCTCTTCATGGAAGTGTTGAAGGAGCTGGACTGCAACAACGACCGCACGTTGGATCCAGTCGAAGTCGCCCTCCCATCCGTGACGGACAAAGAAAGTTTCTTACACTACCGTAACGCTGGGACGGTCTCGGACGACGAAGACGTCCGTTCCGAAATCGGTTCTTGTTCTTCGTGTTCCACCTATTCTTCGTCCTGTGAGAACTCGGAAGCCGACAGCCAAACGGACAGTGATGCCTACGCCTCGGATTCCGAGAACAAGCGCAAACCGGTCGAACCTTTGGACATGGTGTGGGCCAAGTGTCGCGGATATCCCTGGTATCCAGCCCTCATCATCAACCCCAGCATGCCCCGAACTGGTTACTACCACAACGGAGTACCCATTCCAGTCCCACCCGAGGACGTGCTGGCACTGTCCAAGACTCACGAGGAGCCCCGTTTCTTGGTACTGTTTTTCGACAACAAGCGAACGTGGCAGTGGCTGCCAAGGACGAAATTGGAGCCTCTCGGAGAGGACCCGGCCGTCGACAAGGCCAAATTGAAGGAATCCAAGAAAGCCAGTGAGAGGAAAGCCGTTCGCAAGGCTTACGAGAGAGCTGTCGTTCACCACTATCAAGTCACAACCGGTAGTAGCATGGAGATCCCCCTGGACTCGCAGTCTGAAGGCATCGGACGATCTTAGTACAAACTGATTGCATGCATCTTCTTCTTTTAACCAAACCCATAGCCATAGGTTTACTTTGGGAGGCATTTATCAACCATTGCTGGGAGGGAGGGAGGGGACAAAATTTTCATTGGGGTAATGTCTCCCCCATGACTATGGGCCTGCTTTTAACTTTTTTTTCGTGTTTTTTCTCATAATTGATATCTTTGCCAAAGTTTTGGGGACTCTTCATTGCTATTTTTGCTAGGAAACTTGAGTTATTTATGTTCCCTTGAAGTCCATCATCATTCCACATTTGAGAGATGGGAATAAAGAGAATGCTGGCTCTCAAATTTTGTCCATGTGATTGCTTCAGAAGACACCCACGATTTCCAGCATGAAACATGTGCTCATAACTCCCAGACGATCCTTTCCTTCTCGTCCTCGGATGTCTAAAGGAGACATTAACCGTGAGGCAAACGCCTCGTTTCCTCGAATGAAGAGGCAGCGACCCATCAAGAAAGAGATAGACCAACGGTCAGTCACGCCTTTGCGGTCATCGTGGACATGGAACCCGGCCGGTGAGTTTCGGCGACAGGCAAAGCGGGGAATCGATCCCGAATGAAAGAGATCCCTGCGAGAGGGAGAGAGAGGTGCGTGGAGGAGAGAGGCAGGTGAAAGGTGCGTGAGCGCGGGCTTGGCCGCATAGCATAGCCCGAAGCGATCTGCGGTGGAGGTTTCGCCAGGTGAAGTCGGATGCTCGGGCGCCGTGCAATGCAACGCAACGCCTGGCTGCCTCCTCAGTCCAGCCCTCTCTCTCCCCATCGATAGGCCGCGCAATGGCTCGCTGACGCACGGGTGAAAACGTTCTGTGTCCGCCATGAAGATGTTCAATCCAAAAGTGAATTATTACGAGAACACGTGCTTCCGATGCGGCCACACCGTGTACCAGGTGGACAAGATCGGCCCGTTGAAGGACTTCACCTTCTTCCACAAAGGCTGCTTCAAGTGCGTGGTGTGCGGCACGACGCTGTCCCTGAGGACCTACTGCAACAACCAACACGACCACGAAGACAAAGAGGTGTATTGCTGCAGCCACGCCCCGAAGATCGGGCCCGGACACGTCGACGGAAGCGCCGTGGGAATCCGAGCCGCCCTGAACGCCCCGAAATCCGCTCAATACGTGAACGACCAGATCCGCGGCACCGGCAAAGGAACCTTCGACGCCGAGGCCCTCGCAATCAAACCTCACCTTAATCATTCCCGAGATTCCGCCGATGGCCACAACGCGTCCCTCAACAGTGATTACCCGTACGGACGCTTCGACGCGAGCGCCTTGCACATCGCTCATGCCTTGCGGGCGACGGAGGTGCAGCGGAATTACAAGAAGATCTCCTACGACCGGCCTCTCAATTCCTATCTGGTAAGTGGAAAGTGGGTGGGTGAAATGTGAAAGGCAGAAAAAAGGAGTGGGCACTGTGTAGGAAGAACGTTTGGGCGTGCGAGAACGCGGTCATCACGCCATTGCCCCCTGGGAGGGGAAAAAAAAAAAATTCCTCGTGTGGATCTTTAAATACTGGGGTGCTTCGGGCCGTGACTGGAAGATCAAGGTCGGAATGTCGGCCTAAAAACGAAAGCCGACAAGCCGCTAAGTGTTTACCTTATGCTTCCGCCGTGTAAATACATCGCAGCCACGCGGGCACGGAAATCCAAAGCAAAGGAAACGTGACTCGTGCGATCGTCGAATGAAAAGTGAAATCTTGCCACCGGCGAACTTTTTTTTTTCCCTTCGAATTTGATTTTGTCGATCGATGCTCCACTGGCCTGGTTAGCAGAAGAAAATGGCAGGCTTTAGCGAATGCAAGCCTACGTCTGGGTAATTTCCGCCTTTTGTTCGAGGAAGGATGAAGACGGAAGAGAAAGAGGCGAAAGGTGTTTATTTTTCGTGGCGACCATCAGCCACGATCATTCAACTGGAAGTGTGTCGACCGAAAACGAGGACACTCTCATTGAGGACCCCCAAATTATGATTGTGTGAACCATTCGGACTCCAAACTCTTTTTTTCCTTTCCCCCTCTGAGCAAAAAAAAAAAGGGGGGGGGGGAAGAGGGGAAGCGAGGATTTTTCTAATTTCATTTGCCATGAAGGTCAATTAAAAAAATGTCACGTACGATGGCCGTGAGTGTAAAGGCCCCAGCCACTCCTTCGTAGTTTCTCTCTCTGGAATTTCTGGGCCCCGGAGGGAAAGGCCAAATAACCTCTCTCCGGCTGCATAAAAGTCGCAGCAACAGATCTTGATAAGATAATGAAAAAAAAAAACGCAAAATAAACACCGCATGTCTCGCCTTATCGAGAAGGGGAGGAGAAAAATCGCTGAAGAATCAATCGTCGGCACACTTGTTTCCAGCCCGCGTGCGATGCTAAAAGAGCGGTTCAACGGATCCTTTGTAGGAAAAAGAGGGATCTTTGTCATTCTGTTGGAAAAATTGCCATGGAAAAATTGCCCTGAAATTGCGTAACGGGGTGGAGTCTCATCCGGTCTTTCCTTTTTCCATTCATCCTCACTTGAGATCTAACCCGATATGCACCGGAATCCGCATTTCTCCTCGATCTGATATACTTTTTTTGCGTTTAACTTCCCCATTATTATTTTCTAATTAATTATTTAATTTGTGCAAGACCTGCTCGCCTTATTAGTCGCCGTCGGCCTGCTTTTAATCGCCGTGCTAACCTACATTTTTATTTTTGGCTTTTTCGGCCCCCGGGGAGGCGACCGAGTACATTATGTATTTGTGGTTTTTCTCACGCGAGGAAGAGACGAAATAAATAAGCGAGAGGCAAAACTGCTTTTCCTTAAAATAAGAACAAAAAAAGGGGGGAGGAAAAGTGGTTCATGCCTGAGTGAACCCAGTTCCCACGCCATCAAGTACTTTTCCCCCCTACGTCCCTTCCCTTTTTCCTACTTCCCTTTTTTTTTTTCCTTCCCCTTTTTTTTCCTTCCCTGGCGATCGGAGGGTCAGTTTCGATTACTTCGACCTTTTCGATAAAGGACTGTCGAAAGTGGAGCAGGAAGGCGACGGGGGAAAGGGAAACTCGTCCAGACTCTCGCAATCGCGGCGCATTCCTCGCCCCGATTTGACGGGATTTAAATTCGGCGGTCTCGCGTTTTCTTTCCCGCCCGTCACGATCTCGTCTCTTGACGCCATCTGGAAGGGGGAAATGCGCCTCGCATTTCGAGATTCCGGGTCAAGTGGGCCCGTTTTCTGCACGGATGAGAGAGGAACAGATGTGAGACTTTTTTCAGCCTGCCTCGGGGGTAGAGACATTTCCTGGCAACTTTTCCAGGCCTTCTTTTCATCCCTCACGCCTCTCTTTTTTTTTCTTCTTCCCTCNATCTCGTTTCTTTAGGATGAGAATTTCATTCCCCTTTTTTTTTTTTTCCCCCCCCCCCCCCCCCCCCCCGATCGATTCAGAGTGAGAGAAAGCGGGAAAAAAACTGGCTAATTTTTTTTTTAAGGCCATGCGAGACACATTTGCAAATGTTTTGTGCGAAATTCCGCTGATGGATGGATTTTCTTTCCGGATCATCCATCAGTCTGGGTGGGATCGAGGCGTCTCCATCCACGTGGCCAGGTTATTCCCAGGTTATTCCTGGGAACGGGACAGGGGAGACAGGGGACACACGTGTGCACGCCAGATGGTCTCGCCCCCCCTGCATTTCGTCGATACCTTTCGAATCACGATCTCTGCGGGACGAGACCCGGCGGCATTTAATCGATGAGAGTTCCGTCTTCGTTTGGCACCTTCGTTTGGCACCTTCGAGTGCACCTTCGAGTGCACCCTGGCACGCACCTCGAAAGGCACACCCACGTCGCCCTCGATTAAATCTCCACGTGGAGTCTCATGGACTCCCCGATCGGCCACCTGGCCACTTTCCACCCGGATTTCGATCCGAGACGAGTCGAAAATTCGGAACGGCACCGTGGAATCTGGTCGCTCGAGTGTCAAAACGTCCGTCGTGGCCTTTTTTTTTCCGACTCGATAATTTTGTGAACCAGGGTTATTAGTTCCATTAGCTGAATCCTTACCAACATTTTCTTTGGGTAACTGTTCGCTGTTAACTGTTCACGAGTTGAATTACATTAATTTTACTAGCCGGTAAGGTGATATTCACTCGGTGATTTTCCGGTGCGTGACAGAGGATTCGACAACCCTGGATTTGGCAACCCTGCCTCATCGAAGCGAGACACCTGGCTCCGAAGGAGACATCGCTTCTTCACCCTTCTTATCGTGTCGATTCGCAGGTGGTATAGATTAGCCGATATGAGATTAGCCGATGTCGGATGTGATGTGTGGGTCGTGACCGGTCACGACCCACACATGACTCGTCCTTATCGAAGGCCGGATCTCTGGCATGCACCACAGGCAATTAAGATTGGCAGTGAACGTTTTGCCGCGTGACGATTGTTCGCGTTGTTTGCATATCCCGCCCTTTGCCGTGCTAGGTCATATCGGTGGATTATTTCGTCGGTTTCGCTGATATATATATTTGGAATTCCTGCTAATAAAAAAAAGCATATATAAGCATGATATATCCTCGAAGGGAGAAGCACGGACTGCAAAAAATGCCAAGTCTTGGGATTGCAAAGACACGGAAGCGTGAAGCGAGCCAGAGGCGTTTTGCCGTTGTTAAAGATGCCTCTTCTGCAGCCCGTCACGGTTCGCCATACCGGTAGTTGACAGTCGGGACGAGGAAGCAGTAAATGTAAACGAGACGGGGAAAATGGAATCCAACGGGATCCTCGTCGACTCCCAGTCATCTTTCGATTTAGCTCCACCATCGGCCGACATTGCTCCACCATCGACGGATTTAGCCCCATCATCGGCCGACATTGCTCCACCACCGATTTCCTCCCCCCGAAATTAAAGAGCAGTTGCACGCGATTCGGTTGATGGAATAAATGATCTGTGTGCTTGGTGGGGTGTCGGATCGTGATCGGGACGCCAACACCTCGTCGTGGGATGTCGATCCCTCGTGGAGTGTCGACCTCTCGTGGGGTGTCGATCACTCGTGGGGTGTCGATTTCTCGCCTCGGGACGTGTACCGATTCCTCTTCGATCGGTCGACAATAGGGACCATGGGTTCTCCCACAGTGAGGCCGATGGCTTCTCACAGATGATGAATGAATCGATGATGATCCAATAATGAGACGGCGGTGGAAATCTGTGCCAACGATGGACCGAGTCGTGCCAGGGATCGGGCCGAGGGTGTCTCAGACCTAGTTTGCAGTCGCGGCCAAGTTACCTCGACTTCTTACGGCCACTTTGACGTGAATGAAATTTACTCATCTGTTGGATAAATCTTACTTGCCTCGGTTTGACTTCGTTTTAGCCCGTGACCGAAAAAGGGCAAGAAGACTTCGAAGCTGCGATGCCCTTCGGCCATAAACGATCCTCTCGAATTCACGGGAAGCTGGTTTCCTGGAATCGGAGGGCTTTCTGCCGAGCGATGCGCGTCGGCATTCCTTCGAGTCGGTCTCCGTTAAGCGATAGACGGAAGATGCCGTATCTCGCATATAGAGTCTTTTGTCTTCGCCGATCGTTTTCGCTCGACACCCTGCATCTCGCCTGCATCTCCCATGTGCTTTCCATGTACTTACCGTGCGTGGGTGTTCGATCTCTGACTCGAGCGAGAAGCATCGCAGCGTAGGCTTCGTTTCGTTGACCCCTCGGATCAAGTCATTTTTTCACTGAAATAAAAACGGTTCTTCACGCTCTCGCTTCGGTTGTTGGTGCCGAAAGTTGTATTAGTTTCACTCTGATGGCTTCCGTTCCGACCAGGGGAACCAGACGCTCCCAGGAATGGCGAAAAAAAGAGTGGAGAACAAAACTTCCCCTCCACGAGTGGAAAGATGGGTTAATTAACCGCCATTGTCGATTATGAATCGCCGATTGTTGCAGATTCGACGCACGAGTTCCTCGATCAGATTCTTTAATTACAAACCTGCCCACGTGAAGAAGATCCCGCAGCGACGAAGTAACCCTATAAGCCTCGAAGAAGTGTTTCGAGCGCTCCACCCGATGAGTATGCAGTCGTGGTTTCTTCCCACGGATTCTGGCAGGATTCTGGCAGGATGCAGACAGTTGAAAGCCCGCCTTGGGTCGCCTGGCTTTTCCGTTCCTGACGGGCTGTCTTTCGCGTTGCATTGCCTGCAGCTCTGCTGCTTTTTGCGAAACTCTCGAATCCATATTCATGAGTTTTTCCACGAGTCTCCGCGTCCTCTTTTACACACCTGTACTTTGCAGTTGCATGTGTCGAGGCTCGTCGGCTTCTTTTCCACCCATTCCACTACCACTGTCGTAGTTACTCTATATTTCTTACCATTGCTTAAGTCCTTAGGCCATTTTAGAGTTCTTTCTGTTGCTGGAAGCACGTTAGGAAGAGACTTTCGATCGTTTGCAAAACATCAGTGGTAGAAGACTATACAAAAATTCTACAAGGTTTCCGTGATTCTTTTGTTCCCTCTAAATATTGCGTCATTTCATGCACAGGATCGTCTCCGATCGGATTTCAGCAGCTTTGGTGATTCTGAATTTCTCATTCATACGGCGTAAGCGGTTAGTTTTCCACCCCGATCACTCCTCCGTTTTATCGACGTGCTGATGAATTTAAACCAACTGCACTTCGCCTCGAGAAACTCGTGGAAGGAAAAGGAAGGGCATGGCCAATGACCATATGGCCGGATGCGTGAGAAGAACGGAGGATGTCGTAAGAAGCATGACGTCACTCTGTTGTCTCCCTCCGAGACGAGAGAGCCTTCAGCGCCTCGACGTCCCGGAGACAGGCTTGATGCCTTTGCACCTGCGAGGTATCGCCATCGCGCATCGGTTTTCCTTTCTCGCTTTGGGGATAAAAAGAAGGAACGCAAATAGAACGCGTTGAAAGGACCATTCAGGTCTGAGGAAAGGAAATAGGATAACAGGTCTGGCCGACAATGGGTAGTTTTTTCCCCATTCAATGCAGTTTTTTCCCATTCAAAGCAATGGGAAAAATCTCTTCGGCGAGTCAGCATGCAATTTAGTTCTGCAGTACGTTTTATACCGTAGAGAACATATCTCGATGTGGCCCTCTTTCGTTTGTAGGACAAAGAGATCCAGATGCAGCTGGAGATCCGGCACAGGAAAGAAGAGGATGACCTGTACAGGAAATTCGCCAAGCAGAGAGAAGAGGAAGAGAAGAAGATGAAGGAACAGATACAGGTGAGTGCCGTCCCTTAAGCACAACTGGGGTCCACCCCCCCCCCCCCCCCTTGCTTCCTCCCCCTTCTACCCCCTTCCTGCCATAATTGCATTTCCTTGCTGTGTACCCTTCTCAAACTGGAGAAACGAAAAGATTGGATTTCGGTCACGGGACGCTAACTGGGGAAAATCCCAACCACCCATACGATAGCACACAAAAAATTACTTTTTTTTTGTATTTGAAGTCATGCGTAAAAGCGTAAATGAGCCATTATATGAAAAATGAATTTGGGATTCGTGTAAAAAAAAAAAAAAATCCGTAAGTGTCACGAGATACATAGAGTAACCGTAAAGATGTTGGACCCATCAATCATTCCAGACGGGACATTGTGTTTTTTGTTTTGTGTTCCAAACTGGATCAAGGATTCGATACGATACATATGAAGCGAAAGAGAACGGAAATATCGGAAGGAAAATACGGTCCGTGATGCATGTCCCCCAACGCAGTGCAAAGACGATGTGCTCAGCTGAGCATCGGCTCGCTCTCTTGCCCCTGTCTGAGTGACAGTCGTCCTCTCCCCTGTCTGCTCCGCAGCCGCCCTCGTCTGACTCGACAATTGCATCCGTCCCTTCTCCTATCTTTGGTCGTTCAACGCTTGGACGCACATGTATTTCGTGATTATCGTAGCATATGAATGCACGTTTTGTAATCAGGGAAGTGGCGTCTAAAACCCGTCTTGTTCGCCAGCCCTCGATTTTCAATTTTAGTGCGCAGACTCCATTTTCGAGGTTCATTAACCTGAAAACCTGCTACATAATCAGTTATAATAAAAAAATACTGGGAAACCATTAAGTGAGCGTAATATGTTAGTAGTTTTTCTCGTTTTTTTTTTTAATGTTAGGATTCGTGGATATGAATGGGTTTTGCATTCATGATAATAGTCATTTATTGAATATTTTAATTCTTATTAATTTTTTTCCTCGTTGGTAATTCATGCATAGTTTTTGCTTCATTATTACACCGATAGTGATTTATTATCGGTTCATATTTATTTTAGGGCTACAATGTGTGCGCCATAAAAAAAAATATGGGCTGGCACAGTAAAGGCCAGAGTATGACGAATGAGAGGGACGTTATAATGGAGTGTCAGGCTGTATAAAGTCAAAAGAGGAGCCAGTGGCCTCTTTCCTTGCTTCACTGATCACCACGCTTCACTGCCTCCGTGAACCTTTTTTTTTCCCCTGTTATGCAACGCGTGATACGACCATACGAATGCTGAGCATTCCTAATCCAAAAGGGGAGAAAGGCGACAAGCCTAAAAATAGAAAAAATCTCGATAAACCGGAATGGAAACTTTTGCCGTCCTACTTTTCCTCTCAAGGTTTCCGTCCGGAAGGACAACTTTTACTACAGTAGGTCCTCTCTGATGAGAAAGTGTAGGCTGGGAGCAGAAGATGAATATCATTGCGGGGAAGAGCACGAGGAAGATAGGAAGGAAAACGCCTTCGCCCCCGTTCTCTCGTTGCTTTGGGAGGAGCATTTTCCACCCGCCTTTTTTGGTCACGTCAAGGCCCCTCACACGCACACAGAAACACACTCACACACACAAATACACACGTGTGAGTGTTGTTTTTCAAATAATCGCATATCATGATGTGTTGTACATCTTTTCCCGTCTCTTCAAACATGTACATTGATTAAACATTTCCAGCAGTAAAATTACTAAAATTTAGTAAAATAACTAAATTTAACTCTTTAATACTTACGTGCATTCAAGTCCGAGCATAAATAAATTCCTTTCTCTTGCCCTCCTCAGGGTCTTTGTTCTCGAACTATGATCAGACTTCGGGAACAATGGAATTCCGACCTGCTCAACCTTAGTCCGAGACAACAAAAAAAACCTTAAGCCGAAGGCCGAGTTCATACTCCTGTTGTACTGCATTCTACAGCATGCTGGACGTGCGATGCAGTGCACAGCAGCAGTTCGTTAACGGACTGCAAAATTGCACGCTGCATCTGGTGCACTGCATGATGCATCCTGAAAAAGATAGGAATAGTTTCTGTTCAATCCAGCTGCCATACGGCGTATTTTCTTGATGAATTACAGGATTGCAGTCCGGCAGCTGGACATGCCGGATTAGATTTTTCTGTACAGCATGCAGTTACAATTTCACAGTTTAGTTGAATAGCTACAATGAATTATGTTAGCAGTATTTCTTTTTTGCACAATATTTCTTTTGACATGGATGCTTACTGAGGTTTTTGAAAATTCCCTATATTGTTTGAAATTAAACAGCGAAATGCTAAGATAGTTCTTTCAGTCTCAGATTCTAAAGTTTCAGATGGCTTATTGAGTATCAGTGCAAATTGTAGTCTGCCAATTTATTGCATGAAGAATAGGAATGCTTGGAACTTGGCAAGTGTATCACGGATAGTGCTCAATCATTCTTGCAGCATTAACTCTTGGTATTATTTCATTCTCCCGTGCTTTGCAATAATTTGTTTGCTCTTCCTCTTTCCATGAACCATACACACATGTAGGAGGAATGGGAGACGGAGCTGGAGCGACTGACGAGTCGGCTGGAGAAGGAGATGGCAGCGAAGAAGAGGAAACCCGAGGAGCAGAGGGTATTGACATTGAGGCACCAGAATGAACGCGACGATCTTGAGAGGAACATGACTCTCAAGAGCAGCAAGAAGAAGGAATCACTCACCAAGAAACTCCTCGAGCACGAGAGGTCCGCCCGCTGTGTCTAAATGATGGTCAAGCTTCTGCATTACCGAACAGCACTTAATCATTCGTGCCTCTCATGTGAGATTAACATATACTAGAGGCCATGGTGCTCGATACCTCATAAACTTTGTCCATGAAGCTGAAGAAACTACAAAGGCTGCTCTTTGGCAAGCTACCTTTCATGTTGTTATGGACTTCCCACATATTCACAGAGCAAAAACGAAAGCGGTGCACAGTATCCCCGTCGATGTGTCCGGTACAAAGGTTTTACCTGTTTCATATAGCAGTTCCTTGCAGATATAAAAAGAGAATTCTCGTCGAGGCGAATATTGTACAACAGTGTTTCGCGATGTGAAGCCGACGCGGACAGATTGATAATTGTGCATGTGAATGATGCAGGGCACAGACCGCAGCTCTGGTGGAGAAGCACAGCAAGGAGATGATGAACTTGATCCAGCAGAAGAAATCGGAGTACCTGCGGGATCAAGGAGATCAGGAGGAGATGGAGCTCCCGCCGTATCCATCCCAGGCGCCTCCACCCGGTCCCCCCGCCCAGGCCAAAGTGGAGATCTACTCCGATCCCATGGTCTTCCATGACATCGACCAACAAGCCATCGCGGTCAGTTTGCTTCCCGACTTCGAGTTCAAACTCTTCTCTCTTTTTTACCCTACCTGTCTGGAATTTTTTAGTATCTATCTTAATTTGAGGAGATTTGTATTGTTTTTTTTTCCTTTCTTAGGAAGTTAATCCCTTAAGTGATGGATTTCTCGAACAGAAGCCTACCTCCTGAGTCAGAAATTTAAGAAATGTACCACTCCTTCTCGAGTTTATACTCATATTTCGAGTTTCGAAGTCATATTTAGCTCAAACTCGAAATATTACGGGACGAAAAAAAATGCCAATCCCCCCCCCAGGAGGAGCATTTTACCATGACGGATATAAACGTCATACCCACTGAAGGGGTTAAGTTTTCCTTGATGCATCTCCTGGCGAACCTGTTCATTTTATACGTGGGTGGCAGTGTCTATCACTGATGAAGCGTAACCTCTGGAAATTTATGTCTTCTCCATACTCCTCTTTAGGAGGGTGGTACGAATTCAACCCGGAAACAGTGTATGATGTCCTAGAACGTTACGACCAGTGACGGGGAGGTTACTTTAAAAAATGACTAGTTACATTCTGCAAAAAATAATTCGTTGCAAGTATATGCTACTTTCTGGAAAAATATTGAAAGTTCTTTTCTCGTTACTTTTTTCCACAAAGCGCCATCAATTCTGCTTCTGAGATGAGAGCCTGCATTTGATGCAACGCGCTGGAGACGGCGTGTTTCACGCGTTCGCATTGTACATATGCACGAGCATGAAAAAAATTGCTTTGATTTTTCGAAACGAAGGAGAATAACACTCGGGGATAAGTTTTTTGTGAAATAATTAACTCATTTCTGGAAATCATTGCAATTCAGAAAAAGGAAATGCTAGAGGTCAGTCCCCATCACTAAGAAAACTTGCAGAACATGCGCAATTCCGAGGACCCTCTTTATGTCATTATTGATGGCCCTCCTACATGAAACCTACTTATATGTCTTTAATCCTGAGTGTTTTTCTTGCAGGTGGCCCAAGAGGATCAGAAAACTTTCACCGACTTGCTGCGCCGCCTCATCGGGAACTGCAGCTCGGACGTGGAGAAGGCTCGGTGAGTCCCAAGTTCCTAAACCTTTTCACGTTTCATTTACGATCATGATGTTCAGAAGAGAATTCTGTGTATCGCATTCAGCGCCATCTTCCGCTGGATCACGGTGAAGAATCTGAACACGATGGAGTTTGACGATACTGCCCAAACGGATACTCCCATGGGTCTGCTGAGGGGGATCAAGCACGGCACCGAAAGTTACCATGTCCTCTTCAAGCGCCTTTGCAGGTAATCACATCCCTCCTATCTTGATTACAACCCTTGCAGAACAAGGACACTGTCTCTAACGTGTTCTGAGCGTACATTTTCATTGCTCTGAACAGCAATGAAAATGTACAATTACATATATGCTCATATGAATGCATTATTTTTGCTAGTAATCTGTAGTTCGAAATCATTGGGGTATGCTATGTTACATGTCTGTGGTGCTTTTTAATATTTTATGGGAGCCGATATCAATCTGGATAACAAAGTCGTTAACTCTTATATTCACCGTATTTATGTATATCAACAGTTATGCTGGTCTACACTGCGTGGTGATTAAGGGTTACTCAAAGTCAGCTGGATATCAGCCTGGTGTGCGGTTCGAAGACAACCGCTTCCGCAATTCCTGGAATGCTGTCTATGTTGCTGGAGCATGGAGATTTGTCCAATGCAACTGGGGTGCCCGACATCTGGTCAATGCCAAGGAGGTTCCCAAGTCGGGTCACCGTGGCAAGAGCGATTCACTCAGGTATTTCCCAGAATCTCCCACCGTTCATTGGTATTTCAACCATGCAGTTCTGACTTTTGATGTATATGATGCAGGTACGAGTACGACGATCACTACTTCCTAACCGATCCGAAGGAATTCATCTACGAGTTCTTCCCTCTGCAACCGGAATGGCAGCTGCTCAAACGTTCCATCACACTACAGGAATTTGAAGAACTTCCATTTGTCAGATCACTGTTCTTCCGCTATGGCCTGTACTTCCCTGAGGAAAATACCAAGGCCGTTATGCGCACTGACTCCACAGGTTAAACTCATTAACTCATGCTCATGATTAGCAAATATTGTTCACATTTCATTCCTTTCAACTTTTGGTCTTTTAGGAGCTACTACAATACGAATTGGCATGCCAGCTCATCTCCAGTCTTCTCTTATATTTCACTACAATCTCAAGTTCTATGAGAATGAAACCGATACATACGATGGAGTGAGCCTGAAGAGGTTTGTCATGCAGGTGAGTTAGATCATTTCTTTGTGTTTTTCACCAAAATCCCCAGAAAGGATACTGCAGTACCTATGATAGAAACTTCCAATTTAGTTCTATACATTGATTTAATTGAAAATTTTCAAAACTGTCATGTATTTGTACCCAGAGACATCTTGAGGATGTCTGGGATTCTGGTGCTTCTGCATTTGGCACATAAGATAATAATGTGATGTTAGATATTTCCAAAGCATGGACCTCACGGAGCAGAAATGGCGGGGGAAGTTTTTATTACTGCCTACCATAACTTTCTATCATGATCTCAACTGCTCTATCGAAATGAACTGAAATAAATCGGCTACTGCATTTACTGAAATGGCTGTCTTGTCATTGTTTGATATGGGCATTGCTTTGATTCCTCTATGCAGTCTGTGGTGGGGAATGTAGTGGCGTTCCGTGTTCATGCACCGAGCAGTGGAGCCCTTCTCTTGGACATCTTTGCCAATGCAGTCACACCTCGAGAATACCTGACAGGGGAACCCATGAAGTTCAAGAGCGTGTGCAAATTCAAGATCCTCTGCGACGAGCTGCAGACGGTGATGGTGCCACTACCAGACTGCGCATCAGGCGAATGGGGCCCCATGAAGGCAACGCGTCTCTTCGGCCTCATTCCCCTGACGCACCAGGATGCGCTGATCTTCGCAGGTCGAGACCTCGAGATCCAGTTTCGCATGTCTCGTCCGCTGACAGACTTCATGGCGACCCTGCACAAGAATGGCTCTGAAGAACGTAAGCTGTCCAAGCACGTTTCGCATTCGGTGAGCGAGGATGTTGTGACCTTCTACATCAGCTTCCCTGAAGAGGGACAATATGGCATGGACATATACACGAGGGAGGTATCTCACGGTGAAAGCGAGAGGGAGAAGGAGAAGCACCTTCTCACTCATTGTTGCAAATATCTCATCAACTCGTCCAAGCGAAATTGAGCGGCGCTGACTGACGTCCTGCTTTTACTAACTTGGAAAATGTCCAATTTCCAGAATGGATCTGACTTAAATGTGATTGCTCTAGGAAAAAAATTCATGAGAAATACCTTCAAGTTCACTATGAAAGTGCAGAAAATATCAGGGTTTATAATCTTTCTTACATATTGATAGATTCCTACATAATGCTCTATTAAGTCCTGAGTGAATCAAAGGCAGAGATGATAGGGAAGATCCATTTGTCAGTCTGAGAACATCCCACGCCGATGTTCCGTCTTAACATGTGATACTGGGATCCCTGGTGCGTCACACTCATTAAATAAATTTTTGTTACAGTGTATTACTGTATGAGGTTTTTACACTTTTTTGAACGGTCTGATAAAAAAATCAGTTTTAATTTCTTCCTCACTTGACTAGTCTCTGGAGTTTTGATTGCCTTATGTTATGTTACATGATTCCTAATATATTTAGTAGCATAGCCATGAATCATGCCGGTTTATGTACATGGGTGTACAGTCATCCTAATTCTCACTGGAATGGTTGTCATAACAGTCTCACATAGATATCTTTTGCTATCTTTGAAGCTTTTATTTCTACTTTTACTTCAACTTGCTGTTATCAAATGAGGGGCTGAGAACGATGGCAACTGTAAAGTGTCTTCTGTGAGTCTTCCATGAGTAGGCCTAATGTTTTTTTTTTTTTGCATCACATATTTGAAAGTAAATAAAAATTGCTTATGGAATCTGGTTGAACTGCATTTTCTTTGAAGACCCAAATTGCAGAGTCCAGTCCATCTTCAAACAACGGTGGCTACAAGCGGCATATGCTGGGGGGGCTAAGTATTATGGTAGTTGCTTCACGAGGGGGGGCTCTTTGGCGAAGAGAGGGCCATGGGGGAGCCCCCTGCGCCTTTCCGTTCACCCCCCTCCCTGCGTACGCCACTGGTGGCTGAAGTGTAGTTAATGCTGGGGCTCAGTGGTGGGCCCAGGTCTGCATCTATTTGGTATTTAAAAAGCCTATGTTTATAATTCCCACCCGACATGTCCATGGCATGGTTTAAACCTAAGCTTATCGAAGCTTCCTGTTTTTGGTCGGAATCCTCCAGGATAAAACACGGTTTTCCGACAGAATTTGTGTCCTTCCTTAAGAGCTTAATCGTTTCCATCGATGGATGATGGTTTCTTGGATCAACTTGTGATGCTGATCCTCTGAAAAATCCTACTTTTCTCTGTTCTCAACTACCTATAGGGGTACGAATTCAATCCGAAGACGATGTCGGCGCTTCCCGGCTTCTGCTTCCAGTGTCATTGCCCTTTACGTTTCGCTCGGTAAAGGAGTGACTAATGAAGTTTTTAATCATGCTTCGTCACAGCGCCAAGCACGATGAAATATGGATAAAGGAATTTAAACCTACTTCAATTTCCACTCAAGAACCCACTCCATTTCATTAAGAAAAAAAAAGGACTCCGTGGTATTATTATTTTTTAACTCCATGCCTACACGCGGACGAGACACATTACTAAGATTGACAGACGTTCTCATCCCACCACCAGGCGTTGGCAAGAGTTGGTGTATCTGCGCAGTATGTTACTTGGTAAATGGGCCGTTCGCATTCCAGACTAGAAACGCCCAGTGCACTGCATGACTTTCTTATATCTTATGGGCAGTCAAGTTGGCCTGAATGACTGTAACCCATTGACCTGGCAAAACATAGGGATCTTTCACATGCCACATAAAAATAAGGAGAGTAGCGAGTCACATGGATATTCGTCCTGGAGAGCGCCAGCACCAGCACCAGACTTTGAGTTGGGTTGCTTTAGGATTCTTGCGGAAATTTGAGCTCGTTTGCAACTGAGCCACATAAGGTGCTGGAGAACTTAAGAATTTCACTGCGCCGAATCGCAACCGAGCAGACAAGCGGCATGACGTAGGTCACGTGACTTTTATAACGCCCCGCCCCAGCCATGTCTGACGGCATTGCTATGGCGTCCTCAAGTGGAGGTGGTTCAAACTTAAAGTCTTAAGCATTTTAATCCAGTTTTAAGCTAAATACGTATGAGATGACCGCCTTAAGCATTGCGAACTTCTAACGTTATGACATGGGCCTTATCCGTAGGTGAGAAGGTTTCACCTACCAGCTTTATCAGTAAAGAGGTCTAACGTTAGGCCTAAGTGTGATGAAGGTGGTGGGCCAAGGCAGCGTGTAGGGAAGAGGGGGTGGGGAAAAAAGTTGCTACGAACACTCCTGGAAGGAGAAAGTGCAAAATGCCTCCCTAGACTAATGTCAGGATGTCAACTAAATAAGGATTGGAAGGTCTTTCCGTTGAACAGGGCACTCGCATGTTTGTCACGCGCTCGTACAAACCTGTTTCCTGCTGGTCGGTTGGTTCTACGAAATGAACATCTGACGTTGCGATACGTAAGGCCATAAATGTTCATCGCTTCCATGACCTGGGTACATTCTCAGATGGTTTCATCTCACATTTTCTGATGGTCCCATCTGCTCAACTTTCTCCTTGCTGCTCAATTTACCCATTACTAGTCATTTTTTTCCTTTTTTCTGGACTTTTGGGCTAGCCATGATTATATAGGATACATTTATAGTTCTAAGGACCCTTCTCTGCTGTGAAAGGTATCTTGCTCTGTGTGTGAAGGATTGTGCTTGCAAATTTGTTTTAGGCAAAAGGTGTCAGATTGTCATTGGTTATAGCTAGGCTTAAGCCTTCTAGGAGCCTGGAACCAGGACCAGCAGAGTCCAACCCCCAAGATCTCATGATTTTTTACTTTAATGTTGCAGTTGAAGATATGGCAACTCTAGAGGACAAATTGCTTGGAGAGAAGCTTGAGTACTATTGTAGTAGCAGTGAGAGTGATGGTGAGCATGACAGTGATGCAGAATTTGAGAGTATCAATAAAAGTGGCCCCAATCCAGCCTCTGCAGTTGTAGAAAAACCTGACATTGGTAGATGGGAAGGAATATCCACAAATGTAAGTTCAATATTGTCCTGAAATTTTTTATACTTCTGGAAAGTAGCTTCTGGGCCTAGGTCAGGTCAGGAAAAGGGTAAGAAGTCTTCAGGCTAAAAGAATTTACATTTGGATTAGTGACCTCCTGAAGGAAGGAAATGACTGAAACAATGCTCATTGAATATGGTGTTTATCAAATAGTCCAATCTGATAGTTTTACTAAATTTAATAAGTTTTGTTAAACAATGGCATGTCTCTGGTAGAGCTGCCCTCCATGTATGCTCATAAAAAGGGAGTTATTTGTGTGGAGTTTCACATGTAGCTATTTTATTTTCATCTTCATGGGTAAGAGTTAATTCAGTGGATTTTGCTCATGTGCCATTGAATTATGAGGCAATGCCAAAATTGTTTTGAAGCACTGTTGAAAGTATTCACAATGAAAGAAATCACTATTATATGCTGAAATGGTGAAGGAAGGTGATATATATCTGGTCTTTATACCTGGGTGAAAGTGGAGAAAATGGGCCTATAACAAAAGGCAAAGCCATGCATAAAGGGGATGGCAATTGAACTTGAAGGAAAGCTTCATTATGTAGTAGCCTTATCATTATGTTTGACTCATGCATGTTGATGGGGTGCAGCATGAGCTGGTCCCTCTGCTTATGAATTCTGAATGTTTCGGGTTTCTTTTTTCAGACTGGCCCTAAGGGAGTAATAAAAGACTGGCAGCGCTACAAGCAGCTGGAAACTGAGAGAAGGGCAGAGCAGGATAAGGAAAGGCTAGATCTCATCAAGAGGCTCTCACTTACCTGTCGTTCAACTGTGAGTTGGCAAGGCTGAAGCCTCCTAGCAGACTGATCAGTAGGCCTAGTGCCTGAAACTTTTCCTTTCAATCCTGAATCAAGCACCTTTTGAATGCTTAGTAGAATACCTCTATTGATATGCAGAAAGTCCTTATGCTACAGTCTTCCCTATGATTTGACAAAATGAAGTCATTCAGGTGGTGAGTCAATGTTCAGTGTGCAGGATTGTTGGTAAGTTTGTTATTTCTTCATAATCACAAAAAATAGTTATATATTTAGCTTGGAACAGATCAATTTAGGAGGGAAAATGTGCCAAGTACTACTCATTAAAATTTATATATTTAAAGCATGTTATTGATATGTCTCGTATATGAGCCTGAAATAGCAGATAAGTTCCAGCAATCTTCTTTAAATATTTGCTCTTTTCCCAGGAAATTGATGTTTTTGCCCTGAATTATGGCTTCTTGGACAGGATCTATTCTTGTAAAAGTGATGGAGGTAATCATAGGACAAGGCAATACATTTAGATAATATTCCTAAAAGGCCTATTTCTAATATTCCAGTTGGATGATGAAAAAGCCAAGGAGGAAGATGAGGAAATCCAGAAATTGCTGGAGGATTCTTTCTTGGAAACATATATACAAAAGCGGATGGAAGAAATGATGATTCAATCCAATTCAATGTAAGGTTTTTTCAATTATTGTATGTAGATAAGAGTAAGCCAACTATTGACATGTTGTGGGCATGCAGGCCAACATTTGGGAAGGTGATTACTCTCTCTTCTGGATCTGAGTTCCTGGATGCCATAGAAAAAGAGGATAAGAATGTGACAGTTGTCATCCATCTTTATGAAGAGGTAAGGATTTTATGTAATTGAGTATCTTCAGTGGTTTTCAATTGAATACACCTGGCTGGTAGGGACCAGTGGGTGCCATCAATGGAAATATACTTTATTGGTGAAGGTAAGGTCCTTTCAATTTTGCTAAGAGTTTAAGCTGGGATAGGGCTCTCAAAGAAAGTTGGTGTACTGGAATACATGAGTAGGACTTCATCATGAAGCCACTTCAGGCAAGTTGGCCTGATCACCATACCTGCACTTGATTTTTCTAGCATTCAGAGGCTTGCAGAGCCATGTCTGGAAGCCTCATGTGTATAGCTCAAGAGTATCCCCAAGTGAAGATATGTCAACTTAGAGCTTCCTCAGTTGGAGTGTCCCCCCAGTTTGTAAGTTCTGTCACTAATTCACTAATGCCCTGAGAGTACACTATATTTAGGCATGCTGCTGTCCCACAGAAATCTTATGGAGTGCCAGCTATCTTGGTCTATAAAGGAGGGAACTTGATGGCCACTTTTGTTTCACTAACTCAGGAGTTTGGAGATGATTTCTTTGCAAATGAGGTTGAGGGCTTCCTCATTGAGTGAGTTTGGGAAATTTATGTCTTTTTTTCCTGCATTAAGTTGTCAGTGGATGAATTAATTTTGGGATTCATTTATTGTATTTCAGGCATGGGGTATTGCCAGACAAGAGCCTAGTCCCAGAAGTGATTCGACGGAAGGCACCTGAACCTGAACACGACAGTGATCTGGATCTCGACTGATCTGTGATATCGCTTCCCTGTGTCTGACTTGCTTTCCCATGTGGTCTTCAACTCCTTACATGTTTTGCAAAGACAAGGGTGCCTGCAAGGCCTGATCACTTTACCTGGTGTCTCCAATGACCTCTGAGATCAACACAAGTTGTTAATATCTACCTTGAATATTTCACACATGTTCTTTTCATATGTTCAGGGTGGGCTATAAATATTACAAAGCACATGTAACTTTCTATTCCTGCATGCCCATGAAAAGCAAGATGAAAAAGACAGTACACATATTCTAGTCTCTCTTTGATGACTAATTTTGTGTGTTCCTACAGGGAAATATAAGACATTAATTTGGCATGAATACTTATGGCCCACCCTGTATTGTCCTGAAAGAGAATTGGCACATTCCAAATCAACCATGGGATGTGCATTTTATTTAATTGCTGAGAGTTTGTTGGGTTAAGGAGTTTGCAGTATTGACTATATATGACTGAGAGTTCTCCTTCCCTGTATATGTGATAACACGCTGGCTTTTTTCAGTTTTTATTTATTTTGAGAGGTTTTCACTTCCTTCAAGACCCTCCTACAAATACAATTACTGTCATCTGAAAAAAGAAAGGGACTGTGCTGGTGTTACATGGCATCAGTGGATGCTTTCATGAAGCATCTTTGCAGCCTTTCACGTTGACCCAATATTCTTTCATTTGCACATTAGTCATATTGAAGGAGAGGTGTCATGGTGAAATAGGAGGCCCTTTCTTCAAAGATTGAGGTATCGTATGTGATGGTTCTATTTTGGCATATTTTGAAATTTAGTTTGATACGTTGGAGGCACAGCCTAGAGAAGAATCAGAATGGAGGGGCAACCGGGGGGCTTTCCACCTCCAGGCATCTTACTCCCGATGTCAACTGTTCACCTGATGGGAATGCCTGCTCCCCCTGGGATAGGATTTGCCATGTCTGGAGCCCAAGTCGCCGATATTCTTGGCACACGGGTTAGCTACGCTCAGGCCGGTGAATCTGCTCGTGCTGATGCATGGGGCGCTACTGGCGCTGCGGCGAGAACATGGGCAGAACGTGCGCAGATCAGTCCGTGGGAGCAGCCGAAATATTCTCAACAGCACAGAGGTAGACTTGGCTCTGCTTTCTGTTCTGATCTTGATCGAGTTAGAGAATGCTGCATTTGTTCCATCGATTTGATTGCCATTGATAGATTCCCAGCCCGATCCATGGGATAAGGGACACGGAGACCGCAATCGAGAAGACAACAGTCCGGAGACTTGGGAACGCACTGATGGTGAAAGGTGGGCTATTTGTTTCTCTTTTGTCCCATTTATTTACTCAAACTTTCCACTTTCTGGCTTTTTCATATGTATTGATCTCAAATGTTAACTAATCTATGCACACTATATCCAGCTACCCAACTGTTGAGGTATATGGAAAGTTCTCATTGAGAAGAAACAAGGAAGGGACCGAAGTTGTCCTTTTTCCCTCCGATATACATTTTCCGAAACAAATGGCTTTTACGCAAGATGAGAAGTATCTCCCATCCTAGTCCTTGAGAGCCCTAATGAGACCTAGAGAGTAAGACAGGGAGTAACCAGACACTACGTGAAAAGGAAGCAAGAAAAAAAAAGGAACCTGGTCAGAAAATTTTCCTTTCCTATACAGGAAATGCAAAAAAAAAAAAAAAAGAGCCAGGAGATCGCAAGGACGTGTAATTTTTTTTTACTCATCAGCCATGGCGAAAGAACTGATACTAAACCTGAGAAACACAAGTTATTTTTATATCGGTTACCGGGAGGGGGATGTATCATAGCCGTTAATCGAAGCCATAAGCAGCTGGTTGGTTAAGCGTCAACTGTTGAGTCCCTTTATCGAAAATAGTTTTTTACAATCCATGTTTGCCTTCCTACTTGAATATGTGCTGTTGCAGAATATTATTGCCCATGTGTTTTCCGCTGCTATTTGTAGAAAGAGGAAATCCCGTGAGCGAGATAGAAGAGACCGAAGCTCCGAACGACGTCGAGGTGGACGAGAGGGATCCAGCGACCAAAGTGACAGCCCCGACCGGGAGAAAGACCGAAGCCGGAGTCGGCGAAAGCGCCGTCGTCGTCGCCGCTCCCGTTCCCGCTCCCATTCGCGTTCGTATTCGCGTTCCCGCTCGCGGACTCGTTCCCGCACCCGTTCGCGGTCTCGCTCTCGTGACAGAAGCCGTGATCGGCACCACCGACGGAGAGAGGATGATGACTACAGCCGTTTCCCCGAGGAAGAACCCAAGATCCTTCCCCCAAATCACACCGTGATGGTTCGAAGGTTGGAGTCTGAGCACAGCGAGAACGATGTCAGTTTTACCTAATTTTTCCTCCCATGTGCTGAAGAGAATGCATGGCACTGATTTCGTTACGTTATTTTTCCTGTAGATACGACAGGATATCATGCGGGTTGGCCTGGTCCCCAAAGACATCCGACTCATTCGACGTTCTCGACCAGGTTGGTTTTCATTCCATTTGCCTTTTAAAAAAATGTATTTGAAAATGTATTAAGAACAAAATGGAAAAGTGCTTGTTGCAATAATTGCATAGCTACAGTAACTGAGTTTGAACACGGAAGTATTCAGAAGAGTGGGGGACATTAGGTACCCAAGGTTAGATTAGATATGTATCCCTAGGCTTCATTCATTGGTGTGTTGCACATTTTCATGCCATTTTGTGTTGCTGATCAACCTAAATCTGCAACAGCTCACAGCAGCTGAAGTTCGCAACACAAAAAGACTGTTCATTATGCAATTCTGGAAAGTCCCAATAAATCAATGCTTTAAGGGGAGGAACCCCATCCATCCATGCAGATCATGCACCAGCTGAATTTTATATGGGTAAAAGATAAATTCATCCAATAATATGTGATGCAGCGATGTTCTGGGTATTCCTGAGATAGACAACCTACTGATTTCCTGGAATTGTCTTGTGAATGGTCTCTACATGTTGCACACTTAGGCTGCTGTAAGGTCTTTCAGATCATGATTGATCAACAACATCACCATTGGCACAAAAATGCACACCAACAAATAACATGTTCAGAAGGTGCTTCGCAAGCACCAAACTGTAAATGGCAGCTGCAAAAATGGAGTGTCTGTTAAAAAAGTAAAGTTCCAGAATTGCTGCATGTTGTTTCACTGCCCAGGAATTCATCATAAAAACTCCAAGGTTCACTCCACCATCAACAATACTGTATATCACCAAAATGTCAGAAGTTACTGAATAGACGAATCCCTACACTACTTTTTGGACATACATGCTGTCTTCTGTAAATTGGAAAACTCAACTTAGTTAATGAATTTTTCATTTCATTAAGGATTCTGAAGTTAGTGAAAGTGAAGGAGGATAGAAAGAGAGTTAATGAAAGTGAAGGGGGACAGGAAAAGGCTTAGTGAAAGTGAAGAGGGGTAGGGGGAGAGTTAGTGAAAGTGAAGGGGGGCAGGGGGAGAATTTCTGAAAGAAAAGGAGGTCATCCAGGCTTGCTTTTTCTTCTTTGTCTTTTCTGATAGGGGGGTTATTGTAATATTGTTTCATATGCAGTCCTCAGTCTGCTGATGCATTTTGATGCCTGATGATCACTTTTTGATCACTGCTACTGACCATCTATGTAAAAATTTGATGGATAAGCTCATTATAAGTGGGTTTTGATTAACTTGAAATTGCCAAGGAAATGACCAAGGATGGTCTATAGTAAAAAAGGAAATGGAACACAAAGCTCAGGTCTAAGTATTATAGTGATTTCATGGAAATAAAATCACTCTATTTATGCTGCATTGATTTACTTTTTTCACTTATGCTTCATTTCAATTTGAGTTGCTGAGAATTAGCAAATTGTATTGATGCCTATTTGTTTTCCTTGATTTTCAGATCCATCTGGGAGGGCAGGTAAGACCAATGAATCTTTTTCCTCCAATTAGGTCTAGTTGGTCCCACCTCTTATGTGAAGGAGCCCTCCCTCACAAAATGCCTGTTTCTCTTTGCCAGTGCCTGTGAGAAGCATTCTTGTTTATTTTTTAAAGAGAACATTCTGTTTAATATTGATATTAAAATCTAACAGCAAGTATTTCATTGAGAGAGTTATTTGATGAAGTTTTTCTATTGACAAGATGACTTATCACAAGACACTTGAGAACAGAAACAAGCAGACAGAAGACTTTACTGGACCTGAATGACTGACTGACAGACTTATTGACATGTGATGCCTTCCCTTGTTAAATACCGCCATTGGCAGAGAGAGAAAGAGGAAAGGAAAGAAAAGAAAAGAGATTGTTTGACCACGGATTTCTGCTTCCTTGATTCCCCCTCGTGTTTAGGTGCATCGCGAGGCTTTGCGTTCGTCGAGTTTAACACGGTCCAAGAAGCAGTAACCTGGATGGAGGCCCGGCAGGTATCTTAAGCCCCCTGAATGCTCACACTCTCGTGTGTCTCAGTGATTCACTCTACGATGGAGGTTCCAGATCTTTTTCTCCCATCCCAACTTGTTCACTTCTTGGCCAGGGAACATCTCAGTCACTCTGAGCTTCTGTTTTTGCCTACTGGCAGGTGGTCAACCAACATAGTTAGCACATGTTTCACAATTTTACATCCATATATATATGTATATACATTTTATTTGGTTCCAGGCCTTACAGACAGAGTTAGAGAGTAATCCATTTAATGCTAATTCTATTTATTATTGAGATTTTATTCAAAGTAAAATTTGGCATACACTTTGTGCAGACTGCATTGTCTCATTTTCTTTTTACATATCACTAAATTAGAATGAGGCTTTGGTATGCCATTGCTTAAACAGAAATGACCCATAGTTGGCTACTCTACTTGAGAATTTACTTTAAGTGCTGCTTTTTCCATTTATTGACTCCTTACTGGTTTATTACTAAATTATAATTAAATCTAGTTTCATGTCAGCAAGCTCAAAGGTCAAATGATTAGTTGAAATAAGAACTAAACCATGTTAGTATCATAAAAAAAAATATTCACCATAATCAGGAAATGTGATATTGTAAATAAAGGGAATTGTTTTTGGTAATTTTTGTGATCTGGAGGTCTCATGGGTTGACCCCTGCCAGATTTCCAAAAAGGATAGGAAAAGCTGATGGAAGAGAAGAGAATAGTTAGGTGAACTATCAACTGCATCTTTTTTCCCCTCTTGGTCCCGTCAAAGTCAGAAAATTTGAAATATATTGTATGACTGGCCATTTATGCATAAGGACTCTGCATACAAGTTTATAGCATACATTTCACAGAAGTACTAAATATCAACAGTAATGGTAAATGATACAGTCAAGTATATTCTTGGCATTGTCAAACATCAAGCATGGCTTATAATTATGTCCTTTAGCAATTTTGTTGAAGTGAAATCTTCTGACTCCATTTATTTAAATCTCTGTGTCCAATTTTGATGCACAACTGCAGGTGTCATCACCTGATCTATCATAGGTGGTATAACAGTGTAAGTGTAGTCTCCCTGTATTGGACATGGAATGCTATGGAAAGAGTAGTTTTACTCCTGTCTTGTCCAAAGGAAAAAGAAATGGTAATTTTTTTGCTTTGTATCACCTTCTAATAATGAATGGCTGGATGGGACCAGAGGTGAACAGAGAAAGAACACTATGAAGCTGGTGGTCATGCATGGTCAACTCATAAATGCATGAAGCCCAGAGTTAGGGATCTTCGGCAATATAAGGGATGCAGCTACTCCGTGAAGCCCCTCTGGTGTCCTGTGCGGATGGAAAAAGGGGACCTTTCCTACCCTGTCATGTCTTCATTCTGGGTTTTCTCTTTTTCCCCCTCCTCCAGGGAACGCTGGTCTTTGATGATGGATCCAGGGCCTTCCTTCAGTACAGCATCCCCAAGGATGCCCCAATGGAACGACGCAGTCAGTATGACTGGCACTGCTTCAAGGTTTTGTTCTCTGCCGTTCATTTTTTACTTCATTCCCTTCCTCTCTTTGAAATTAAATGTTCAATGTTGGCTTTTGGTCCAGTGTGGAGCTCATAATTTTCGGCGTCGAGAGCACTGCTACAAATGCCAGACAAGCAAGCGAGAGGCTGGTGGTGATGGTATTGATGAAGTTTCTCCACATCCCACCCACAGTAGGTTATTCATGTCATGCATTAGCAGTCTATATCATTTGCAATCGTTATTTTAGCAGCCAACTACTGTGAAGGAAAGCAAATGAACCACTTACAATGAATTCCAAGAGACTCGTCGAAGTGGTGCAATATTTAAAAGAAAGCTTTTTCAGTGTGGATATATGCTCAGGACTAAAGAGTAATTGAGTTCCACCACAATGAGGTGTAATTGTACAGCATTTAGTGTTGCTGTTAAGATTATTGAGTTATCCATCAAGGAAAAAAGTTGTCATGCTGGTAATGGCCTATGCTCAATTCAAGTTCAATGTAGGTACTCTTTTCAAACTAAGCACAGATCAGGAATCATATATTTTACATAGCAGGTGAGGTTTTGTGGTCTTTGTACCCACCATATTGTGTCATTTTCCAGCCATCCTGTTGCGGAACTTGGATCCCCTGACAACAGAGGATGGGGTCCTAGAGAGCTTAAAAAATGTGTCAAATATGCCAATCAGGAGTGTTCGCATAGGCCGAGATCCTCTGACAAGTGCATCCCGTGGGATTTGCTATTTGGAACTGAACTCTGTTGTTGACTCCATGCATCTCTTCAATGATCTCTCCACTGATCCTCCCATGATTGATGGTCGCCAGGGTGAGCTTCACATCATAAATTGTCTATTGTCTACCTGACATATCTCTAATCTTGAGTCAAGTAATGTCATCTCATTTTAGATTTTGGATGATGGCATGAAATTACTGTTGTATTGTTGGAAGTACTACATGTAATGGCTGTTCTTGCTCTATAGCTAGTGTATCCTATGCACGGTTGCCTCAACTGGGTGGAAGTGGAGGGATGGGAGGATTGGGAGCGGGTAAAGGAAAGGCCTTGTCATCCCTGGCCACATCAGCCCTTGCTGCAGCCCAGTGGACAAACCAGCTCCCTACTTATAATCCCAGTGATCCATCCAGCCTCAGATCAATGGCAGAGTACAGTGCTTCTCTCTATGCCTCCAACCCAGACGAGTATGCAGCCTATGTTCAGTACTATGAACTTTACTTTCAACAGCAGGTACTGAACATGCTCAGTCTTAACTCACTTGAATGTTCTTGAATTTTTCTGAACCCAATGCATATGTTTCAGGTGGATGCAGGACTTACCATTTCTGTTCCTAATCAGTTGGATTCATCAGCAGATGCTGATGCTGCAGTGAAAAAGGCTCTCAAAGACCAGAAGAAACAGGTATGTAGTTGGGCTCTGGCATGTAGTGTGGAGTTGTAAATTCTCGTTCTGCCAGAATATTAGTATCATATTGGGAAATGCTGATACCAATACTGCTCCTAATTCCTAGTTGGCTCAAGGTGATCGAAGAGCACCCAATTGCAGCTAATGGTTCTGACAATCTCTGCCAATACTTTTGTCAATTGTTGTTGTTAGTCCTAATTGGAGGATCATCAATAGGTCTACCAACAGAAATTCTTTTGCCTTGAAGCACTGTTAGCATTCAATAAGACTTTTTGAAAAGTTTCTCTTCTTGATAGTATGGGATTGCATTAATCCTTTTTGTGATCTAGACAAGCCAAATGTGTATATCCTTCAGTCTTCTTTTTGTTAACAGAAAACTGACATCACATCATGTTTTCTTGAGTGCCATACAGGGATATGCTCTCTTCCTATGGCATAGCAGAAGCACACAATTAAATATAGCATTATTGTGATGGAGCACTGCATCAAAGTTATCTCTGCAGTGATTTTTGGTTGATGGTACATGATTGCAGATATATGTAAAGTCATCTACTTCATGGGAAACATCAAATCCTTAATGCATCTATGGATATGCTTAGCCAAGAGGCATGTAATTGTCATGATTTTGTTTCTTTCAAAAATCAACAGGGAAGTAAAGAAGGATCAGAGAAGAGTGGTGCCATTGGACCCCAGCTCCCATCAGGCTTTGATCCCAACAAAAAATATCGTAAGTGGAGTACAGGTTTTACAGTACAGAGTCCTTTGGTACTTGCTGCTGCACTAACTCATCTTTTCTTACTGATAGCGGTCCCTGATGTGAGCAAGTATCAATACGAGGAGTTATCGGGCTATTACTTTGACCCTCTGACACGTCTCTACTATGATGCCAACACCCAATACTACTACAACAGTACCACACAGCAATACCTGTATTGGGATGGGACAAAGCAAATGTATCTTCCTGTTCAAGGTAGTACAGATGCATCAGGAGGGAAAGATGACAAGGGTGATGACAAGAAAAGGAAGGAAGAACCCAAGAAGGTGGAGAAAGTTCAACATGCAAAGAAGATCGCCAAGGTTGTTCATCTTGTTTTTTTTTTTCTGAAACTTTCCATCGCACAGGAGTACTGCCCTGTTGGCAATTGTAGCATTTTGCCAACATTTAAAATTCACTCTGAGACAATTTCTGTGGAAACTACAATGAAAGCCAATATAGCTAGAAAGCATCTTTTTACACTCAAGTAGATTCCCATCAATGTTCATAAATTTTTAGAATAAATGCAAAGCATGCTTTGAATGCAAAAAAAAGCAAAGCCAAATGCGCTTTATGACTCAGAGTTTCAGATTCTTTGGAAGTGGGAGATATGTATTTTTTTAACTTGAACTTTTCCTTTAACTTGAAGGACTTCCTTGAAAATTGGCAGTCCATTTGTCAACATTTTTTCAACAGAAAAATTCCAATCACTCCCTATTTTAATGTAGAGGAAGGAGATTGTGCAGATTATTGCACTCTAAGGGAGAGAGAGGGAGCATTATTCAGCTAGAGATTTAAAAAAAAAATTATTTCTCTCATTTTCACTGTTTTGCTTGTATGAGGATTTCATTATGCAGTTTTGTTTTAATATTTACTCATCCAGTAAGTTAATAACATGGTCATCCTTCTTGTGTAACACTGGAACATTGCTACTCTTGGAAATACTTCCCTAATATGTTGGAGTATTTTCAAAGTTGTTTGGCATGGTGGCAGTTTGAAAAATTTGGATGGATCAACCTGAGTCATCAATGTTGTATTGATGTTTTGGCAAAATATGTTATTTTCGATGGACTCAGTAATGAGAAGGAAGGAAAACAGAAAGGTGTCACAAGATTTTGTCAGGATTAGCAGAACCCTGCTTCATTCATGATCTCAAGCCAGAAGATCAACTTTAACTCATTTGTTTAGAATTAATGAAAGCTCTGGCTGGTATTGCAGGATATGGAACGATGGGCTAAGATGTTGAATCAGAAGAAAGAGTCAGCAAAGCATGCAAAGGAAGTTGCATTGGCACAGCAAATGGCTGCCATCAGTGCCAAGACAGGTTCAGCTGATGCTGGTTTTGCTGTTCTTCAAGGGAAGTCAACAGTTGACACATTAACTTCAATGTCTTCAACTCCTTTGTCCATTCTGGCCAATGAGTCCCGTCCCTCAACTGCATCTGCCCCTGCGGTGAGCCTTTTCCCACTCTGAAATTTATTATATATTTTCTCATGTATGTTTTTAAACCATGAATATCTGTGGTGTCAACAAGAGCAGTGCTCTCCCCTGTGCCAAAAGGCTGTCGATGAACCTGATGTCTTTGGAAAGTTACTGTAACCACCATTATCGTCAGAAATAATTACTGTTTGAGTTATTTTATGCTACTGCATACCACATATGGGATTCTCATTGGAAAAGGAGAACATTAGCTGCCTATTGCAACTGTTACATGTGTTAGTATAGTTGCTTTCACACAGGAGTTACAAAAGTCTCATGATATGTCCTTGACCTCAAAAGGAAGTTGAGTTGAAATCATTCATCATGGTTCATACTAATACTTGGGGAAGGAGGGGAACCTCAAAGATTTTCATGCTAGTGATTTATGATTGTACCTGGCACCTTGAAAGGTTGGTTTTGGTAATATTGCTACTACCAAAACCAACCTTTTAGGGTGCAAGGTAATGTTGTAGTTGCAAAATTGTCAAGACTGCATAAATCCCCAGAATTTCATTTAATCTTCAAAAATGTGCTACTAGCAGGGTGGAGGAGGTGAGAAGGCCCTGGTGGCATCTTACGGTGGTGGAAGTGACAGTGAAGGGGAAGACTCCATCGAAGCAGTTGATGAGAAGTTCACAGATTATTCCAAGATGGCATGTCTCCTCTGCAAGCGCCAGTTTCCCAGTAAGGATGCCCTCAGGAGGCATCAGAGCTTGTCCGATCTCCACCGACAGAACCTGGAACAGTACTTCCAGAGCAAGGGTCACGATGGCATTCCGCAGAAGTACAGGGATCGGGCTGCAGAACGGAGACTCAAGTATGGCGGCAGTTCCAACTGATCTAGTGTTGAAAAAAATTTTTCCTGTTAAGCTCATATGTGTATATTCAATGAAGGAAAAAATTTTGAAAACTGGATCTTCTTCTGTCCACTGATCCACTTCTGGAGAACAATAATTTCTTTTATTCCATCACTTATGGTGAATTTGGTTGGTTTTGAGATTATTCTGTTATCATAGAGCGCCAATATTTTGGCACGAGGTGGAAAGGTTGCTTTCATGCATAGAAAGATAAGACTCCCCCAATGCCAAATCACTTGTGAGGGGCACGACAAAAGTTGTGCGAATAGGCCTCGAAAGATTTATTAGAAATCGTTAAATAATATAAACAGTTAAAGCGTGGGACGCACTAGGTGATGTGGTGGCTACTCCTATTATCAGCTTTCAAGAAGGTAAATGCCTTCCTGGAATAAACTTCATGCCTTCGTAAAACGAACTTTCCGCGGTGTTCTTAGTCAAAGTACTTTTACTTTATACTTCCAAAGTACAAGTCCTTGTTTTGGAATGCATTATCTCATTCTCCAAAACTATCTCTGAAAGCAATTCTAAATGTCATCTTCACCGAAACTAAGACTTCATTTTCAGCATTATGCCAAAGCCTCTTCAGAATTAAGTCTTTGGCCCCCCAGGATTTCCTTGGCCTTAAGGGAAGAGGGAATCCGATGCGTGTGGCATATAGTTATTAATAGATTATAGTCTTTTCCATAAAATTCTTTTTTCAACTAATTTTTTAATTAGTTGATATTAAGCAATAGGTTTAGATTAATATAAGCAATAGAACCACCAGCCACCATACGCGCCAACTTCTAAAACATATTTGGGGGGAGGGGCAAGTTTCTTACGGCCCTGAAATACCATTGACTGAATTATTCCAGGATCCATTGGAGTAACTCAGTATTATAATGGTAGCAGAGTGATGAGCGGGGGGGCGTAATATAGTTGGGGGGGGGGGGGGGGGGCACGTGGCCCTTTGCCCCCCTGGGTTCGGCGCCTATGCCAGCCATCCCGGGCTGAGCATCTCCAACCAAGTGTATGTACCTGAAAGAAAAAGTACCAGCAAAAAAGTTTGAGAAATGGATCGTTAGTTCTGTGCTTCCTAACTGCACACACTTTCTCGATTTTTCTTGATGGCTGAAACAGATAATAGTGAATTCCCTATCATGCCCTTGATTGTATTCTTACCCCCACGAGTCTATTCGCGTACACCTAGCATGGCTGTTTAAAAAGAAAAATGAAATTTCCCTTGCAAGGAAACGGACCACGACTGTCCGTGTCCGTTTTTTTCGCAATGGTCCGTTTCCGTCGACCGATTCGCCCTGAAAAGTCGGACTTCATCACATATCGATGCACCAAGAAATACTGCCGCGCAATGTTTCAGTCTGAAAACAAGGAGACCCGTACTTGAGATACCCGTAAGTGAAAGACTGGAATATCTGCACAAACCACTAAAAAAAGTGAGAAGCCCCAGGTAATACTTTCGGGTGCCTTCCTTTCTGCAATGGACTCACTTCCTACCACCCAGGACAACCCATTACTTTCGCAGATGCCCCTATTTTATCTTCTAGGAATACCTAATCTAAACTTCTGGACCAATTGGAGAGTGACGATAAAGAGAGAGGAAAAGTATAGGAGACTCATCTCCAAGGGATAAAATTTAGCACTTTCACAAGAGAAGTCATGGACGAAGACTTCTTGGCTTCTTGTCCATTGAAACGTGTGGGCTCAGGTCTCCAACCAAGATAGTTGTATCCAGAAATGCCGACCAGACATCATTAATGAGAATATACCGGAATAAATTGAAATTCGGGCAGCAATTTTTTCAATTTCCCTAGTTGCAGTTTTCCTGATGTCCGGTACGAAAATTCTCACTAATCCTCAGGACAAATCAAGTTGATAAATTTGATAGAGGTTGGAGAACAGTGCCCACCGTCGAAAGTATGCACTGACTGAAGGCGACGAAGATATCATAAGATGCCTAAAGACATTCCTAAGATGTCCCGAAGACATTCTCCTCAAAATATCGACAAGCGTTCGACTAAAGATGTCTTCAGGATGTCTTAAAGATATTCCGAAAGGGACATCTCTAAGATATCGACTAAAGATGTCTAAAAGACGTCTCTAAGATGGCCCGAAGACATCCCTTACGAGATGTCCGAAACCGTCCGAAAGAAGATGTCTTCAGGATATCCTATGAAGACCACGGGACAAGTCGTCCAATTGGGGAAATCCCTGGGATATCACCGTGCTGTGTGGACACTGGAATATTCTCTCCTTCCGTATGGAAGGAGAGATGAGAATTCTTTTGAGATGGACCACCGAGTCCATCCATTCTTCCGATCCCCCTAGCCCAAAACACTTCATGTCCTCCATGATTTCGTCTGCATCAGGAGACGCTCCAATTATTTTTAAAAATTGTCATTCATGACGTTGAGACGACACGATCCACGTCACTTCCCCCCTCCCCTGCAATAGAAGAGAGCGCGACCTCCTCCATTCCGTGCGTGTCGACGAGCCTGCACTTCACCCCAGACGCATGGCTTCCGTCCAAGTTAGGGTTATGTGGTTCCAGGAATCGACCTCGGCAATCGGGTCTTGCAATTACTCGGGACTTGCAATTTCTTGCACCATGTTTCATCTGCCTCCGTTCGAACGAGACTGCCCTTAGCCACAGTGAAGCCGTCTCGTTCGTGAAGGCTCCGCTTCTCGTCACCAGCTGATAAAAGGTATGCACTCCATCGTCTATCGAGTTGTTTTCCTTCACTTTTTTTTTATTACTCAGGATTGTTCACGAGGATGTGATCTCGCTACATTAATAGAATTTCATTTACGATTACTGTACATCGAGGCTGATGGGGTACGCATTCAGAAAGCCAAAATACCCATACCAAGAACTAGAGTTGAAAGAGATCCGCTGTCAGACTTTTAAGACAAGTAGGCGGGACTGCCCCGACGCCGGCTTATCCGTTTGGCTTATCCGTCCGGCTTATCCGTTCCCCTCACCTCAGCGAGTACCAATCCAGGTGCTTGAATATGATGACATTTCAAAATGGAACTCATAGTGAACCTGATATTAGATAGAAATACTACGGGTTGCGCCTCTCCAGGGCAGGGGTCGGGAACCACATTAAAATTGAGCTAAGTGCTCGTGAGGCCAAGATTTTCAAAGCAACAGAATCATTTCCTGAAGTCGGCAGCAAACATCTGGATTCTTTGGCAGAATCATCGGAAGTTACCAGCGTCGCTTAACAGTTCCCGTGCAACCAGCGGTTCCGGCACAGGTTTCGCGGTGAACTAAGCGAAAAACGAGCTCGAATTCTAAGAAGAGGTTGAGGGTGAGTTTTCGCTAAAATCAGATTAGTTTAAGCTAAAATAATCTGATTTCACAATGACTGGGACTCATTTTAACGAAGATAAACTTATTCCCATAGACGCCCGTTATAAAAACGAATCAGTTTAAAGTTAAACGGATTGTCACCCGACAGTAACTGAATTAAAATGTGTCCAGGATCATTGAAGGGATTTTTTATTTTTTTTTACAAAGGTTATGTGACAAATTCCAAGTAGTCGAGAAAAACAAAAAAAAATCAGTATTTGAAAAAAAGGTTTAATGGTTTAATGGGTTTAATAAAAATGATGCCATCAGTTGACCACAACTTATACATGGGCACCATCAAAACCAAGGGGCAAAATTGGAGGAAAGAAAAAAATTAATGAGAAAGTTTTGAATAAGGATTCAAAGTCAAATAATAATAAAAATAAGAGAGATGATCCTGAGTATTCTCTGCTGTCATGCTATTAATAATTGCACGATCTTCGATTAGGTGCGAAAAGCAACACCCACCTGTAAACGATTCTCCATGCAATATTACTGAAGATCCGTGTCGATGCAGTTCAATTCCCATAGAATTCTATCAATCCATCAATCGCGTTTAGAAAAAAAAAGAATGGTTGGGTACTACGATGGGCGCAATTATCATACCATACATAATATATTATACATTTAATTATGTAATTAAATGTATAATATATTATGTATGGTATGATATGGTAAATTTATACAAAGTATAACAACGATATATAGAACATAACAATTTAAATTACAATTGCGAAAGAGCTCAAAAATGCAAAAAATGATAGTCCGATAGTGGTCTTAGTTCAGGTCTGAAAGTGTTAAAACGGTTTATAACGGTTTTATGGGTGACATGCACTCGATTTGCTTAACTTTAAACGGATTCGGTGCATCCCTATGAGTTATCTTCGAGCAAGGTGGGTTTGGTCGAAAATGACTGCAATGGAATCCTTTCGCCCTGACATTAGCAGCTTTATCCCCTCGAGGATTTTCCTGTTCGGGCGGGGAACGAAGAAAGCAGACGGCCGTCTTCGAACCTGACTTTCCTACTTTCCCTCGGGACGATTGAGAAATGGCTTCCACCGTTTGCCCTCGAGGGATTCGCTTCCAGCGAAGGAACGAGACGGTGATGGGGATTTCTGGCTTCTTTCCTCGGCATTTAAAATTTACAACCCATCCAGAAATGACTTATTATGGCGATTCCTCGAGATTGGAGTCCTGCGGACAAATGAGCGATAGGGCGTCCGATCCGTCTTCCTTAAAGCGATCTGATTCCATCATGAAACTCGGACGAACCGGATCCCATAAGGGCCCATTACGAAGATTAGTTTCCATTTAGTCGAGTTGGCTCGCGACACCCGAGAGGAAAGACGGAAATGAATCCATCTCCCTTTTTTTTTCCTTCTCTGTCTCTTCCTTGAATTCCTTGAGATTACGCGCCTGCCTGCGTTCGATGTCTTTGGCACCCAAAGAGTTTTCTTTGAAAATTTCCAAGAGAATCTCAGAGAGAACCTCTTCACAGGAATGAAGACATGACATATATGTACTGTCTTGTCCTTATCCGAGATGCTCGACCGAAGCGAAAGGGGAATCTCTGGGAGCTTTCAATGCTATCGAAGCTCGAAGAAACCCACGAGCTCCAAGCAAAATTCTTATCATACCCCCTTTCTTTTTTTTACTATTCGATCGATGCGGCAAATCGACGGCCTCCATAACGAGGGCATG